TTATTGTCTTTGTTATATGCGACCTTTTTTTCTAATAATGCACGAATTTGTTGAATGAATGATTGGATTTACCTTTCAGTTAGTTGTTAATGCCATATTTCGGCGTATAATCACGAAATACACATTCTCCACTGCCTTCGTCTTTTATTTGCTGTTTCGAGTCATTCAACGGAAAGGATTCCATTACGATCTTTGCGACAATAAATATTAACCGAGTCCCCGTAAAATAATCCCTACAGAAGAATAACACAAAAACATATCCAAACTTTATAGTTCTGGCTCGTCTGTCGACAAAAACACACAAAAATATACATCAAGGCGTCACTTCCGCCATTGTGACGTTACGTGTCGGAAGATTACAAAAAGTAGACAGGCGGATCAAGACTATATTTGTTGGTCGATTACACATTTTTGCTTTCTTTAATTTTGTTTTGTAAAATGTCAGATATATCTATTGCATTTTATTCTCCATTGCAAAAATACTTTAGGTTTAGGGGCTTTTTGTCCCTATTAAGAATAATTTTTTTCAAAAAAAAAAAAGATTATTTAAAGCGGTCAAAGGAAATAAATTTTACCACCGAAATAATGATTTAAATACTGTCAACTCAGCCTTAAGAAATAAACACTGAGTAATTTTTTTCCTAGCCGATCAAATGCCCGATATATAGCTAATTTTCTCACATCATAATTTTCTTGAGTGTTTCATAAAATTTGTGCATAACTGAGTTGCGACAGAAAATGTGTCCAGTGGCGGGTAACATATGTATGCTTGGTTTTACATGATCCCAGTTTTATTGTCAGTAATATCAGCCCCCCCCCTTTCCCCCGAAGAAAGAAAAAACTGACATTGAACTACGGACATGTGAAGAGACGAGGCTAAGAAACACGTCGCTTTTTCCACTAGGCCCTATTCCCTGTTAGAAAATGTCAGAGAAACAGAGAGGAGGCTACATACTACGATCCCCTGTGAAAAAATGTCACAGATTTTTTTTTTATTTAGATATGATTACAACGAATATACCGGTAGTGAATATACGTCGTTACATTGGAAACCCAAATCAGTCTCACATACGCTTATAAAGTAACGATTAACTTATCGTAAATAAAAGTTTAACGGTGTAATCATGTAATGTTTGAAACGAAGGTCATTTAGGACCATACTTGTTTTTTTGTTTTGTTTTTTTTTTTTAAATTTTATTTCAAAATGTAACTGGTCATATTAAAAAAAAAAGACTGTAGGTTGTTCCCTAACAAAAAAATACAATAGTAAACTATATTTTACTATAGAATTTGTTTGTTAGAGTTGTCGTGATTTATAAATGCACTTTAGAATAAGTCAGGCTTATTCTTTTAAAGAATATGAACGGTCAAGGGTTTTTGTTTGTGTGATGCATTGTGAGTATAAAGTAGATCTCAATTCTCAATGATTTTTATTATTTTTTTTATTTTTTTAGATTTTGTTAAGAATCAAATTAAATAGACTGCTATCAACAGTGATTAACAAATTGTGATTTATAAATTATTTCGAAATCTTAACAATATTTTTTACACAGAATTTTAGACAATATTCCTTTAATATTTGCTTATAATTTACACTGGCGAATAAGTGCGTATATTGTACAAGTAAAAAATAACTTCCGGAGAAAGAACAAAGAGGCTGTGGAGGTTTGGTATTTTATCTAGTCTTATTTCCTTTTCTGATATACATGTACATCGTTAATTAATAAATTTGCCTAACCACAAATACATGTAGCACACTCAAATATGAATTTATTTAATTAAATTAATTCCTGTATGAATGAAGATATACATGTTATGTATAACGTGCCACAAAAATATTGCTTTAATTCTTCATTTTTTTCGTATTTTCTTTCTTTTTTTTCTTTTCGTAAAGTTTCAAATGCACTATTTCAATGCGTGGACAATATAATAAGATTTTTTTTTACATGTGCGTAAGACCCCCCCCCCCCCCCCCCCCAATTTCTTAAATATGGTATATCACAGCTAGGATGATTTTCTTTTGGGAGAAATTTACATGCTTTCTGTGCTTGCATGTTAATTTCGTGTATTCATGGATTAAACTATGCACTGTCATAATATTTGCAACCATTTTACCATAAAATAATTCTGTGAGATTTTATTTGAGACTACTATGTACCAATCTCAAGATTTTCTGAGAAATCTCAGATTTTTTTCTCAGCTGAGTCGGAAAAAACGTTGGTGGCACACATGTTTGAGAAAAATCTCAGACTTGAGAAAAAATCTCAGATTTGAGAAAAAACTCAAAAGACTAGTCTGAGTTTGAGAAAATATTTGTTTGGTGGCACAGTTTGGTGAGAAAAACTCAAATTTTCTGAGAAATCTCAGATTTGAGAAAATCTTAGCGTTGGTGGCCCCGAAGCCTGGAATATTGTAGACGTATATCACGATACTTGCTTTGTCCGTGCTTGTTTTAGGATGATCCTTCTATCCCCATACATGCACAATGTTAGCCGTCTCTCCAGTAAACAAAACGTAATCATGAATGTTTTAAAGCATATATTGGTTTTAGCAAGTAGAGTTTATCACAATTTCCATTTCTACACACTATTTGCTTGTTTAAGCTGGATTGTTGTTGATCTTAAAAATGAGTTTTTCCATTCATAGTGCAATGATGCTCCACAACAACTCCCTAGGTTCATATAAAATGATCACACATGACCTTCTTTATTCCATGTTGATATACCTGTCATTTTTACCCAATAATACTAAAGAGTTCCAACAAGGGGAGATAACAATTTAACTCCAGGAAATTGGTTGCAGGGGGTAAAATAAGCAATAAAAATTTATATGAAGTATCTAAATCAGTTATTCATATCTTTAAAAATATGTTAGATTTAGAATCTTCTTTTTTTTTCATTTAGATATTTAAGAAATAGTCTATAAATATGATAATAGACTGTTATTTAAAATATGTGAAATTGTAGCGAAGTATGGTATTTCAAAGTTAATTTTCAACATGTAGATATTATTTCCCAAGCTCAATATTTTAATACGTAGTAGACCTTAGACCATTCTAAAGATAACACTTAATTTAATTTAATGTTTTACTTGGTCTTGGGAGAAAATTGCATCTAAAAATGGCTAAAAAATCATACTCATTGATTTAGGATCTATAAATAGACCTTTAAAAACTTAAACATTCATTTGAATTACTTTTTTCTACATTAATTGTATAAATAAGACCATGATTTTGAAAACAAAACAAAATCTGAAAATAAACTGATGGCAGAAGGTCACCTTTTGAATTAATCAGTTTGTATGGTTTTTCCATATAATTTAGTGTGATTTTCGATAAATATGCAAATGAGCTGTTACTAAAAATAGATGCGAGGTTTGACATTTTTTTGTAGATATTTTGACTTCTACTTTTATGTATAAAATTTTAAGCCACTAATAAATCCTATGTTGCAACCTTCCATTTGGACGATTTTTTGAATTTTGCATGGTTTTCTCGCAGACTGGCTCTTAATGATGATTGCCAAGGACAGCTAGATAGCTGTAGAGAATTAAAACCCAGACTTGATTGAAGGATTTAGCTGTGATGCCTACTGGATTGTCAGATTTCATTGGATACACAAAATGTGATGCTTAGTCTGATGATTAAGATATTTAGATTTACCATTGTGCTTAAATTTTTAAGATTTTTGATTTGATATGCAACAAGCATGAAATTAAGACTGAATTTTCTTCTTTTTTTTCCCCTGCAGCTTGAAGTAAAGAAGTTGTATGACCTTTAAGTATTAGATACATAGTGATACAACTTTTGGTTGGAGGGTGTATCCCATATCCCATCAAGTTTGTGATAAAAATAGACCGTCATATTCCAGGGTGTACCCTCAGGTCTTCTGACTCCGTGTTACAAGTATAAATTCTTGGGGGAGTTGCAACATTTGCCAAACTGGTTTAGGGCTTATGCTGCTAATAAAGAAATATGATAAAGGATCTCTTAGTGATCATGAATAAGGAGGAACTGCCAAGATATCAAGAAACTCCCAACTCAGGATTAGATGGGGTGTATCAGGAAAATTTAACAAGAGGGGCATGCTGCACAAATCTAAACTTGGACTTGATTGTTGAAATTACGAATAAAAATATATTGACCCAGTTTGTTAGTTTATGTTTGATTAAATTATTGAATAACATTATTCATTTAAAAAAAAGTATGAGAGAAAATTTTGTCAGAATTTCTAAAAGGAGTACTTCAATTTTGAATTGGAACATAAGCTTCTATTGTTAGATTCAGTATCTCCTTACACTGCTATGGTTTGTTTTACTTGATATATAAATGAGACTTTGTTGGAGGTTTGAATCATTCCAGAATAAGATGGCTTATTGAGCATTACTCATATCAGGGAGCTTTTACTACCAGAATAAATTGTGGTATTGTGAATGTTATAAAAAATCAAAACTCTAACAACACATCTGTTTTAAATGCAGACCCTTATACTTCAAAAGCTTCTGATAACAAAATTGCCTCATTAAAACAGTCAATCCTTAGTCAATCTGTCTACAGACTAAGTGCCCAGTGTTGTATTAATTTGTTTTCACCATGGATAAATTTATTGGTTAACGATATAACTATTTTTATGTACCAATTTAATACTATGTGATCCAGATGTAATGAGTTTTTCCAGATACTTATTTAATGAAGGATTAAAAATATTTTCTTTTACTGATGTTAATTCATAAGTATTGACTCTAGAGATCAAGTTAGGTTTTTACCATCAATCAAAAAGAAAAATAAGGAAGTAAAATCCTCTTGAATCTATAATCATGTTGAGAATTGCTGGCTTGGTCCTCAATTTATGATGTTGGTCTGTTATTTCACTAATGCTTCAAATAACTTGGGGTGTCTAAAACATAGCTGACCATTATAATCAGGGAAAAACCGTTGAATGAAGAAACTGGTGAGACTTTTTATCCAGTCTTTCTGACTGCTTTGTTTTTTTCATCTACAGAAAGAAGACAGATAATAACCAGTGGTGGGAGCTTTTTGACCCCAATACATCCCGCTTCTACTACTACAATGCCACCAGTCAGAAAACTGTCTGGCACCGCCCTCAGAACTGTGATATTATCCCTCTCGCCAAGTTACAGGTAAGTCTAACCAAACACTCTGATGACCCCAACATGTCCTGCTACTAAGTAACTACAATGCCACCTGTCAGAAAACCGTCTGGTACTGCCTTCAGAACTGTGATATTATCCCCCTCGCCAAGTTACAAGTAAGTCTAACCGAATACTCTGATAGACCCTAACACATCCAGCTTCTATTATTGCATTGCCACCAGTCAGAAAACTGTCTGGCACCGCCCTCAGAATTGTGATATTATCCCCCTTGCCAAGTTACAGGTAAGTCTGACCAAACGCTTTGTTTCATATACTACTAGGGTATCACAGATTGCATGACCAGGAGAAAACACTTGACCTATTGTATACTGTAAAGCTGGTGAATTCCAATAAAAAAAAGCTTTCCATTCTTAGATAACCCAATTAATCTATCTGTCCCTCAATATGCATGATTATATATTTTGTGTCATTTGTAAACTTTACATCTTCTCTTCTGAAATGGTTGAACCACTATCAATCATATTCAGCATATATGAATGGTGGGGAGCAAAACATTTGAATTTCATGGTCAATATATTCCAGGGGCTTGAGGGTTGGGGCTATATCTTCAAAATTAATAAAATGTTAGTAGATTTCCCTTATTCCTTGAGACATAGCAGGCAAATTGTATGCATGATTATCAAAGAAGTAAACCCTATATCAAAATTGTGATGTTGATGACATCTGGCCATACAATGAAGCTTAATTGGTAATAGAATTGAAGATTCATCATTTGTAACTGCTGAACTTAAGCAGAGAAACCGTATGCATTGTTACACTGAGCTGTGAGTCCTTAACCAAATTTGTTAAATTCTTGTCTTCTTGGTCCTGACTTCATGCCTGAGGAGAAAGTTGCTTTTATCATGAAAATGTGTTGTACCTTCAGAAGTCCTCCTCAACATCCAGATAACAAAATTTAAGGACCCTCTCTACACCAAACAAAAATGTTTTTTGGACATTGAGAAAATTATATTGTATAAAGGTGTAAATATTGAGCTTATTTATATCGTTTTCAACATCGGGTGCCTGGCTTTTACCCCCAGGAAAAATGTTCAAAGTCAACAAAGTTTTGATGAATAGAAATCACTGTTGTTTACCTAAGTGGGGAAAAAGCATGCAGATGAGGTGTTCAATTAATTTATCTTGGCCTATTTAAAATGTTAAGAATGATTGAATTCATTAGAAATTGATAGAAAAACTGTAGATTTCAATTTATTTTATTTTAGATCTAAGGGCAGATTACTCTAACTTAATAAAAATAACACAGAATCAGAACTCTTTAGTGTGCAGTGTATAGAGGGTTCTTAAAGAGTTCTCTAGACTACTAAAGTTATATAACTCGTGTTGAGAAACCATAATAGTAAGGTCCTCCTTATTCTCTATTGAGAAGTTAATGGCTCGTTTTAATACTCCCCCTCAACTTCTTGAGGGGGAGTATTAAAACGAGCCATCAACTTCTCAATAGAGAATAGGTCCTCCTGTTTTTATCTATCACCCCTCCCTTCCCCCAGTCCAAACTAAAACAGATGGATAAGTTGACCAAAATCATAGCATTTTTTTCAGAGGTAACTTAAGTATATACTTTCCAAAGTGACATTACCATAAAAAGTCTCAAGCAATGTCATGGAACTTGTTATCAAGTCAGTGAGTCTGCAATCTGTTGTGTTTTGTTACTACAGAAAATGCAGATTCTGTCTTACTTATCAATTACCTCCTATCAGTTTCACTGTTTATGCTTTCCATCAATGTCCCCACTTTCAAACAATGTTAGCACCAAAACAGACTCCAATTCATGACACATTATCACATACATTATCACATATAGAAGCTTTTATCAGCTAAAGGAGTCCTTTCTGACTCACACCATTCCTATCTTAGGCTACCTATTTAGTGGACAATAGCTGTCTTTGGACCCTTACATTCCAACACTTCCTGCTCTTTAGTAAAAATGAATGGGGGACCTATTTTCCCACACTAGATATTTCTCGGTTCAGAAGTCAGAAGTGTGGTAACACAGAGATCCTGGTTGTGTTCAATTTTTGACACAAGGTGGAAATTTTCTGAATGCGTGAAGAACAGCAGCTAAGGTTTGTGAATTGGAGAGATGTTTGTACTTCTGCCAATTTGAGTGACATTTAAAGAATGTGGAATAAAATGGAACAGAAGCCATGTGATTGCCGTGATTTATTGAGTAAAGACATTTTAAAGGTGACCTTGAAAATTGTGAGAAATATACCCCATTCAGCATGTTCAGTGACATTCTTTGCATTGTGTGAACAGGAAGTCAAAATTTTGGGGTATATTTTCTTAATGAATGCGAACATTGTACTTACTGGTTATTTCTCTTTGGATCAGAAATGACTAAAAGACATAAATACTCATTTTGGAGGAAAAATGTCACACTATTTTCTGGATTAAAATGCCTAAAATCAGAAAGTTCATCTGTAAGTAAATTATTAAGAAAAAAAAAGTTTTTTTGTGTATTTTTTTTTTATCACCACTCCCATCAGTTCTTAAATATTTTTTTTTAATTTTATTTATATATTGAAAAAAAAGTCATTTATTGTTTGGTTTACATAGTGTAGATTTTATGAGAAATTCATATCCCTTACAGGAAAGGATATATAAGGAATTATTGGAGCAGGTAATTGTGTATCTCTGATACTAACAGAATTATTTTATTGTGTACTGTGGGGAATAGGGGCACAAAGCTATAGATATTCAGATTTCCTACCCCAGTCAGACTGTACTTCCAGTATATGCTTTTGTAATCAGACAAAATTTTTGCTTTCCATTATGATTAACATCCCAGCAATTTTTAAAGCAGCTTTGATAGAAAAAATGACCAAAATGTGTGCATGTTTTGTTGCTGTGAATTATTTGACAGAGTTACCTCTCTTGTGCTGTGATTTCCATATGTAGAATATTAGTGATTCACTAATAGTGCTAGAGTTACCTCTCTTGTTCCATGTTTTTCAGACCCTGAAACAAAACACAGAGGTTAGAGATGGCATTGAAGGTTCTGTAAAGCGAGAAATCTCCACTCAGACACCCCTACCCCAAACGGTAAGAAATGCCACTGAAATCTGAAATTCTTTCATTCAAATTTTTTGGCATAAAAAATATTTGTCTTCATTATTTTTTTTTCAATTTATTTAAACTTTTATTATGTAAATTTTATAGAATTTTAAAGTATATGTACTTGAGAAATATGAAAACATGTTTTTAAATACTGAAAAGGGTTTAAAAGTTTGTTTACTTTCTTTTGGCATTTGATTGTAGTTTTTTGCATTTCTACAAATACGAAGTTTTTCCTTCAGCTAAATACGTTCTGCCCATGCATTTACATATAGTTTGAATTTGTGTCATGATCAAGAGTTTGAATATAGCGAAATTTAACGCTGCAATTTATTTTCCCCCTCCTTGGTAGGTGAACTTTGCAACTAAATATTTGCAGTATTGTACTACCTCGGCAAATCACACCGAAAGCCATACATAAATCACTGAAATTTAGACATTGGTATTTATGTATGTTCTTAAGAATCCTGGAACCATTCAGTTTCTACAAAGAAATCTGTAGCCAAGTAAATGTTTTTGTCATGTACTGACAGAATTAGTGTCAATAACAATTACTGTGTTTGTTATATAAAGGATGTGTTAGTAAGAGATGTTTTGTTAGGTGATCTGAGTCTGCAGCAAACAGGAGGTGACTGGTATCTTCAGGAAATCAGACTTCCCTCCTCAAGTAGAGACCAGTCACTGAATTGTTTTTTGTATGTCTAGGTTTATACTGGTCGTCTAAGTGCTGGTGACAGTCAGAATTTGTGTAGAACTTTGATGGTAATAGCTGGTAGCTGAACTCCCTCTGGATATAATTGTTCACTGTAATTTTTCTCTCTGATACAGTAAAACACTTGGAATATAGAATTTGTATTCTACACAAAGAATAGGATGAATCAAATTTTCTAATTTCTCAAGTAAATGGATTTCTTTCAGGGGAGAGGAAATTGCATGGCATTAAGGTGATATTATGCATTTGAATGCTAAACTGAGCAATTTGATTTGTCTTTTATTAATTTTTGCTTTATGGGTAGTCGGTCAACAGCTATGTAAGATGTACAAGTTAATTTGTACTAGGTGGAGGTATAAATTTAATAGATCTTGTTATGTCTACTGTCAGTGGATTTTTTTTTTTACTGAAGGCTTTTATTGATTTTGTTTGCCATGGCAACATATTAGTGTTATGTCTTCTTACCTATATTTATGGCTTCTCACAGTTTCTTTTCTATATATTTTTTTTCTCGGATAGATTAGATCTCAGGTAAGGTTTGTGCAGTACATTATGATAAAGTATAAAGCTCACATATGTGTTTAAGTATTTTTTCTTTGCAAATTGAAAAAGAACGAATTTAGAAGTCAAACCTGACACTCTTTGTCAAGGTGCAATATGAAGCCTGGGGTCTGGGTTTAAAAAAATCACTGCATAAAAAGGTGCTTTGTATTGATACACATGCATGCACACAATCCATGGTCGCTGATTATGTGTAGATAATAGATAGATGGATGGCATATGGCATGTGATGACTAAATTATTGGTATGCATAAACATCAGAGCAGTGATTGTAATATATATATATATAAATAATGGCTATACAGCTATGTGCTGGATGAATGGACAAAATTTCCTTTTGGAGCTTGGAGGCTTAAATGAAACCTAAGCAATTTTGCAGAATTGATTGAAAAGAGGATGTAGGGCTTTTATGGACTATGGAGGCATAAAGTGATTAGGTGAAGAACGTTCCTAAATTCTGTATTATTCCGGATATAGATTATGAAGCTTTTTCCTTCATTGTGATATATATGGCGAGATCAATTATAGACAATTGACATGTAGTGTACTTGTGCATGGGAAAAAATAATGTTTTCTTTTTCTAAATGGACACATCCCCAAATGAAGTCAGCGTGCCATTATATGTAGTGGTTTTAAATAACATTGTTTGTCATGACTGGTAACATATTGTTCCAGGCCCATTATAGCTCCTCAAATAACCGACTAATTGTAAAATATACCTTGCCTTAGTTATGAATTTCATCGATTCTGCAGCTTGTACAAAGGGTACTCAAATTGATGTATTGGTAGTTGTTGTGTAGGCTGGTTATGCAATTGGTGAGCTAGCTGTGCAGTATTGGGCGGTGTAGTGTCTCGTTAGAGGGTGACTGTAGCACCAGACCTAATTCCTAAGAGACTGAATTGTGTCAGTTAATGGGAGGAATGTTCTGTTGTGAATCCATCTCTTTGTGATTGATAGGCCTGGTTCGATAGTGCCTATAGTTGGATACCTTGGCATTGAGATACAGCAGAACTTGCACTTAGTGTGCACTCTGAGTTTTATAAAAACAATGAGAGGAATTTCTATGTTCAATAGAGAATGTAGAAAGCCTATTTAGTAGTGGGGTGTAATTTTTTAGGTTAAACTTTCACTAATCAGACAGTGGATTGCTATTGTGAATTGATATTTATCAAGGATTATTGTACGAATGTCTTTCAAAGAAATTACTGTAAATATTTAAGGTAAACTGGTGGACTCTTGATTTTAGTAAACTGGTGGCTTTTGTCATCTTTGATTAACAGGAAGATGCATCTCAAGTTAACATTAAAAGTTTACAATATTCAGTATATGCTTTAGTTGTGGTTCACCTGTTGGGATTATGTAATGTAGGAATCTTGCATAGATCATCCTCTATGGGTTTTTAATGTGTTGTTTTCTTGCCCTCTTCAACATTCCTAGTTCATTGAGTTGTGTACAAAGAGATATTTCATGATTAAGAAAGTTGTTATTTATTCATAGAAGCATGTATGCTTGTTCAAGTGAACTGGAATATTTGTGATCGATGTGTATCTAATGCATACTAGGAGAAAAAAGGAAATATGAAATGTGTAGAAACCCAACGGAATTTTTAACATTTTTTCAAAAGGATGTTTGATTGATTTCCTGATTAAGTACCAGTTTGGTACTAGTTTAAGTGTTTAAGTTAGTAATGTCAGGATGTACGTACCATTGTAACATACTGATATCTCTGTAGGACCTAACTTCAGAGTACCTATCCTTGGGTCTAAGTCGTGAATTAGTAATTCTGCACTTAGTTGTGACCGGAGTTGGTGATCGAATTTAGAAAGACATTGTATATTCACTGCCATGTGATTTTCTCTCCCCCTCAGCAATCAGCTGTTCTTTAAGGCTCTCGGTTGACAAAAAAAAACTTTGAGAGGTCATACCCCTTAAATACTGGAGTGACTAAAGGAAGTGGGATTGACATTTGTTATGCACGCAAAACAATGTCTTTTTCATAAACATTTGTGTGAGTGATGCCAAGACTTCTACAGGAAGGATCACAACCTCTGTGTTGTACTCCAGGTGGAATGTGATAAAGCACAGATTCAGAGGACCTCTTCTCTGTTTATACACATCAGAGTCTGTTGGAATTAAATTTAGTCTCTGTTGGAAAATGCCACTGAGTCTGAAATGGACTTAAGCCATTAGTGTTAACAAGGATTTATTTGCCTAAATAACATTTATGTCATAAGAACTTTAAGACGCAGTGTCAGATGACATAAAAGAAAGTTCCCAAATATTATTCATAATTGAGACATTTAGTGGAGTACCTAGTAGTGTGACATGTAAATTTTCGATGGCGTGGACTTGATTTCGTGTGGAATGGGAGGCTATGGAACATTTTACTACTCCTCCTCGGCCACTGTTGAAGTGTCCATCTTCCTGCTTATCACTTTCCTACCATTAATTTACATTTTCTTTGTCTTTTTTAAAAAGAGGAGGGACCACACCAAACATGTGAGAACTGGGTCACTGAAATCTACTCACACCACCCAGACCAGTCCAAATGTCTCCAGAAAAGTAAGTGCTGATTTTTCTTCAGTTTGATAGGTATTGCATATTATAGATACATTTATATCTACATATACTTCTAATGATCTTTAAAGTTTTTTTCCACAAAGTTCACTGTTACACTAGATTCACTGCAAATAAAACATCAAAATATTAAGCATATTATGTCACATATTTTTGTTGTTATTGTTATTCCATAACTTAAACAATTAATAAGCACTTATCGGGAATGTCATAAACAATATATAATACAAATAACAGCTAAAAACAGATAATGCAAAACATTACATAGAACAGCAGTATAAGTGCTACCTATTTGATGGTAAGAAGTTTGTTAACCTTGGTGGAATTCACTTTGATGATTTGCCAACCTCTTATGTTGAAGTACATGAACAAATAAAATTAGGGTAATGCAACTTCGCAAAAGACCAGGATGTCACTTATTTTGAGGGTAGTTAAAAGTTGCATTTCTATATTGTAATGGAGATACCATCCAGTGCAGTGATGTTTAGTGTGTCTTTATCAAAATCATCTTACACTATTATATAACAACGTGTGCATTATGCCTTTGGGGGTATTGCAGCAAGAGTTATATTGTAATGTAAGGAGTTCCCCATACTGCACACATTCTACTTGGAAGCAGGTGATAGATATCCCAGGGGGTATTGTCTTTCTGACAGTGTGATAAACTGAGTTGTAGATTTCTCAGGGGTCAATCAAGGGTCAAGAAGGGAGATCATGCAGAGGAGTTGGTTACCTTTTGCAATATCACTTGTTATCTCTGTATTCTGTTATCTGTGTTTAAGTAAAACATCTTTGATTTAAGTTAAGTAGCCAGCTGTACATCTTAGCAATTTATTTATTTAGAATTTGCACAGGAAATTAATTTAATTTCGAGGCATTAAACTGATTTTATTTAGGAAAAAATTATTAATGTTACATAGGCCTAGCTGATCTGGTGAGTGACTAGAGCTGATTTCAGATTTGTAAGTGGGGGTTTTTTGAGGTTCACTGTTCCCAACACATACTTATTTCCATCATGTTCATCCATTTACTGTGACAATCGGACAATCCGTCACCAAATGACTGAGGGTAGATGAAGAGTAATTTCCCTTACTTAGTGCCGTCTTGTGTGATAGTAATCACTCACGACTTGAACTCATCTACTCCTGTGTTTTATTGCCACAACAGAAAATCTCATGCCTGTCACAACCTACCCATCTGTCTTCACTTTATGATGGTAAAAACCAGGGTTACAAAGCATTAGCATATTGATTTCTGATTGTGATACTGACGTTCAACATCCTCAAGAAATTTGAAATCAAAGCACATTCCTACGGACTACTGCTAGGAATCTAAATCACTATCCTCTAGAATGGATTTTTGTCCACATTCTGATAGGACAGGGCATGTTGATTTATTGTACATGGAGTGCGCCTAGACTGCCATTTTATACATGAAGATTGTCTAAATCAAGAGTGAAGGATTCGGTGTTTGATTTCTGCAAACATGCTGTTTCAGATCTCCAAATTCCTTAGCAGGGTAAGAAATGCTCAGTCAGTTTTCAATAATTTTTGTTTTTATGCTGTATGCTTAGGGGCTTTACGAGTGATTCTACATCTATTAAACTGCTGGAAACGCTTGGATTTCATTAGGTGGGTTGCTAACTGGTGTTAGGGAGGAATCAAATCAAGAGTTAATTTTAGAAGTACTTTCATATAACATCCTTTCTGCATTTGAGTTAAGAAAGAAAAAACAAGAAAGACACATCTACTACTCACATTCCAAAATCTGTAACCATGGCAATCAAGCTTCTGAAGCATCAAGTGTGTTGGCAGAATTTTGATAATTTTTATGTCTGTTGGACATGGTCCTGATTCCATTGTGTCAAAGACATTCCAGTTTGTTTCTAATTCATTATCACTCTCAGGAATCAGGAGATCTCCTGCTTGGGTACTGTAAGTGGAGCAGGCTTCAGTCGTGAGGGATCATTAGGCTTGAAGTTCAATGGTATTTTGGGATCTTATTTGTTTTTCTTCCTGTTCGATAGGTCATTGCCTGAAAGTGTGTTTTTGAAGTGATGAACTGAAATTGATTAACCAAAAGATTATTTGTGAAAAGTAATTTAATACATTTTTACAAAGAAAGTAGAGGATAGATTTGAACCATTCTCATGCATTGGGATTAATAAACTTTCTTGCAGAATTACTTTGATAGGAAAAAAATGAATATAAAGATTTTCTTTCAAATGCTGATATTTGTTTCTTGACTTTTTCCAATACAGACTAAGACTATCAAGTGAACTTCAGGAATCCTTTTTTATTTTCATAAAAAGTTTAGTAGTTCACTGTTTTTAATTGCTTGAAATCTTAAAGAGTAAATTTATATTATAAATTGTATCCATGGCAATTCAAAACCTTGTTAATATAATTCTTTCTTTTTAAAGATTTTTCATGTACTCAATTTTTTGAATTATTATGTGTAACTGAAATGCTTGGTAAGAGCATACAATTTCCTATTCTCACAATTTGATACACTGAAAGAATCTGAGTAATATAGGTAATCTGCACTAATATATGATTTAACAAATATGGAAGTATATTCTTCAAATTTTGTATAAATCTCACTCCTTTGAATGAAAAACAGTATATTCCCATAAGTAATATATCAAATTTTGTGTTTCAGCACCGCTTTAACAGACAAGACTCTGCCTCCTCCCAGAGTAGTTCTAGTCATCATGAGAGTTTCCGCGAGCGTAACGGAGATCGAGTCCGTCGTCGTGGTAGCCAGTCGTCACAATCCACACAGGCTGGCTATTCCTCCTCTAGTCCACCTGTACAAGCCGTGATTCGCCGCGACTCATCATTAGAAATGACGCCACGGGTAACAGATTCACCTCGACTACAGAGGACACATTCTATGCAGAGGGCACCCACAGAGAGCATGAGTGGACCATCTAGTCGGTCAAACAGTTACCGCTTTACAGACTATAGGGCCAGAGATGATACATTTGTGTCTCATGACTTATCTCCATACCACCCTGCTAGACGACAAGCTAGTTTTTCATCAGACAGGGAATATGCAAGTCGTTCAGACTCATATGGATCGACATCGAGTCGACAGGACATGTTTACACCACCTCCACTTGTGTATAGTAGTGGAAGTCAGGATATGTATAGTTCTGATATCAATGAGAGAATATATAGTCCAAGTTTGTCTTCTGGACCAGACCATGAGTGTATACCATTTAGTCAAGACATTGCTCATCAGCAAGGGAGTGTTAGTCCCTCAATGATGTCACAAAAACTTAGATCTTTTCCCCGTACTAATCCGGCCTATGTTGGTGTGCCAAAGCGAAATGGAAGTACAGCGTATAAGAGAATTAATGTTGAACAGCAGGCTGTAAACTATGACCCCACCTACTCTGAACCTAAATCATATTCTGCTGCAGGTATGCAAGTAGCACCAAAGGACTATACGGAAAACTATTATTACCCACATGAACGATCTGATAGTGATACTTCGCATTCATCTATACGTGCTGTACGTCATGAACGAACAGACAGCCAGGCATCACACTCATCCAGAAATCGTGAATCTGACTCTCATTCTTCCCAGGGTTCCTTTAAACAACCCTCCGCTGATTTCCATACTTCCAACAGTTCATTACGCATGCAACCCATGAAGGTTGACCCATCAACATCATATCATGAGAGTGTGTCGTCAAGAGGATCGGAGCGAAGTTTGACAGATATGAGAGAAAATGTGCAAGAAAGACCAAGTAGTCAAATATCACAGCAGTTGATTAATAGTCAATTTCAGGAACCTGTGTCCGATGACTCGGAACCTGATTATGCAAATGTGCCTCCCTCTAAGAATTACTCCCCTTGTCATTCAGACACTCATATATATCGAGAGGTGCTGAAGGACCGACAAAACATCCCCGATTTTCAGGAGATAAAGAATGGAGAACCTCCAGCTGTGATGAGGCAGCACTTGGACCAACATGTAAACAGAGGATATAGATCATTACCAGTTATAGAGAACTCACACTTCCCACCTGATGGTAAGACATTTATATATCTATAGACTTAGCTTACTAAAGAAGAGGTATGCATTGAAAGCCTTTAGCCTTTGATTTTTAGCTTACCTTGTAAAGTCCAGATGAGCTTATGCTATACTCCTGTTGTTGGTGTCTCGGTTTTAAGTTTTAGGAGCAGATCTTTCCCCAGGTGGAGTGTATAGGGAAAAACTATGAAAGGCCTTATAAGAAAAGCAGGTCCATAATGAGTCAAATAAATAGCTTAGCATCTTCAAGTATTGTAATCGTGGGCCTTGGGCAAAGAGAAAGTCACATTAGGGGGTCAAAGGAAGAAAGAGGAATATATAGGGAAAAACTTTATAAATCATATTCTTCAAAAAGCAAGGTCATATCAATAGGCAAGCATCCCCATATAATGTAGATTCAAGTTTGTTCAAAAGAGGTTCTAATAAATATATACTAGTATTGGAAATATGATGACATCCAGAAGAATAAGAATAAGATACAATGTAAACATGGTAAAGTTGGCTTAAATATACTGTAAATTAGAATTGTCAAAATCATGGACTTTATCTTAGAGGCAACAGTAAGAAATTTCATTTATTTACATGTGCAAATCCACATATGGCGTGAGCATTGTGGTCCATGGGCCTCTTATTTCAATTAAGTGTTCATTCCCCTGACAGAAAAATACCACAGAAATATTTATATATAACACTGCAAACACCTCTTTTATTACAATTTCTTTAAAATACAAAATTAAGATCAAGTTATAGAAAAATAAGTGGTCAATAATTTTTCACACCCAACCACTTATATTTATGATTATGGAGAAAAACATATGAACAAGCTCTCCAGACAAATCAAGGAAAGGAAAGAAACAGGTGAAAGATTAATGGAAAATAAAGCTGTTAGTAAGATCTCATCAAGGAAACAAGTAGTTGTTTCCCAGAAGCTATTCCGTGATCATGTGGCTAGTAGCAAAGAATATATATATGTAATGCACAGTGAAAACATAATATTTTAATAGCTTGTACGTCTATTTACTTAGTCAGGGATTTTCAAACTGTAGACGATTGTTTCTTTATGTGGAAAATTTTCCTTGTTCAGAAAAATTTGTTTTGGTGTCACAGTTTACGTAATATATTGATGTCGGAAAGGAACTGAATGACAAGCCAGTTTCCTGTTGAACTGAGGTGCAGAGTTTGAGGTTTCATAAAAAACTCCGAGAGACCATGATATGTGGTGTATCATGTGGCTGAGAACTTGTGATATTGTAGGATATGTACCTCTGTATATGATTGGATCTATATCAGTGTAATGATGACGCCATTGTTTAATGATGGTTATCTCCTATGGGATAGTGCTCTTCTGTGTATGTAGCTCAGAAAGACTAATTTTTATCAATGCAAAAGAATCAGTTTCTAGATGTCTTTAAGTTAGAATTAGATAAATATTAAGGTTTATTAAAAAGGCACTTTATTTATTTATTGATCTACTACATGGACTTCAGTGCTTGTCTGTTTGTTGGCTTGTTTGATCTCTAATTATAGTTTTATTCATTTATTGTATGAAAGAATTTAACAGTTTTTATGAAAGTGAGAACCATGTTCATTCTGTGTACATACTTGTAATCAAATTTTAATTTCCTCAAGATTTTCTTATGATCATATTTCATTGTATGATCACAATGACATGTTTATAGGAGTAATATACAATAAGATCTGCAGAAATAAAAGCTGACAGGTTTCTAGGAGTAATATATTACAGTTATGAACTTCAATGTAGGTTGACAATATTGATAATGTGTGGTTAGGAGGACCCATGTCAAACGATATTGACCAAAGTCAGAGAGAGTGATTTCTGTGTTTGATGTCAAGATCAATATCACTGACATGAGTCCTTATAATCTCATCTTGATCATTCACTGAAGTCATTAATAGTTAGGGTATATCAAATGATCACTCAAAGTGAATTATCTGACATAGTCCTAACTGAACAGACTTGGTTGTCATTATGTCACAATGATAAAAGCATGCTTCTTATATTTCATTGTCAGTATCAAAAAAGAACAAATATCATGTGACATCCTTTCAGACAATGAAAATTATGAAAATAATCTTATATAATATTATAGTATAACATCAGTAGAAATAAAAGCCGGCGCAGGCTTCCTGGGATTCTGTCGGATAACAATATAGAATTCAGCATTTTGTATATAGAATTCAATGTTTTGTATTTAGATAGTAATATTTTAGTCCTTTTCTTCAGTTGAACTCAATCAGAGTTTCGATGAGGATGAGATCAACAGTAATTTCTTCAGTGCTCCTTTACACGAACGAATCCTTCATGAGTCGTATGAATCCCATCATGCTTCACTCAAAAGGAAGAAGCCGGAAAAGAATGAAACAGGTATTGGAAGTCCAGTGATCGAGAAGAGCCACTCCATGACTGCAGACATAATTCAACAGCGACCGGCGTCTATGGTGGTCCCTACACAATCTGAGGCTAATGTTTCACTCAGTCCCAGTATAGGATCACTCAATAGACAGGTATATATAAGGCCATTTATACAGATAGACTCACAGACAATGTTTCACTCAGTCCCAGTATAGGATCACTCAATAGGTATATATATAAGCATCTTTATACAGATAGACTCACAGACAATGTCTCTCTCAGTCCCAGTATAGGATCACTCAATAGGTATATATATAAGCATCTTTATACAGATAGACTCACAGACAATGTCTCTCTCAGTCCCAGTATAGGATCACTCAATAGACAGGTATATATAAGACTCTTTATACAGATAGACTCACAGACAATGTCTCTCTCAGTCCCAGTATAGGATCACTCAATAGACAGGTATATATATAAGGGTCTTTATACAGATAGACTCACAGAGAATGTCTCACTCAGTCCCAGTATAGGATCACTCAATAGACAGGTATATATATAAGGGTCTTTATACAGATAGACTCACAGACAATGTCTCTCTCAGTCCCAGTATAGGATCACTCAATAGACATGTATATATAAGGCTCTTTATACAGATAGACTCACAGACAATGTTTCACTCAGTCCCAGTATAGGATCACTCAATAGGTATATATAAGCATCTTTATACAGATAGACTCACAGACAATGTTTCACTCAGTCCCAGTATAGGATCACTCAATAGACAGGTATATATATAAGGCTCTTTACACAGATAGACTCACAGACAATGTTTCACTCAGTCCCAGTATAGGATCACTCAATAGACATGTATATATAAGACTCTTTATACAGATAGACTCACAGACAATGTTTCACTCAGTCCCAGTATAGGATCACTCAATAGACAGGTATATATATAAGGCTCTTTACACAGATAGACTCACAGACAATGTTTCACTCAGTCCCAGTATAGGATCACTCAATAGACATGTATATATAAGGCTCTTTATACAGATAGACTCACAGACAATGTTTCACTCAGTCCCAGTATAGGATCACTCAATAGACATGTATATATAAGGCTCTTTATACAGATAGACTCACAGACAATGTTTCACTCAGTCCCAGTATAGGATCACTCAATAGACAGGTACATATATAAGGCTCTTTACACAGATAGGCTCACAGACAATGTTTCCCTCAGTCCCAGTATAGGATCACTCAATAGACAGGTATATATAAGGCTCTTTATACAGATAGACTCACAGACAATGTTTCACTCAGTCCCAGTATAGGATCACTCAATAGGTATATATATAAGCATCTTTATACAGATAGACTCACAGACAATGTTCCACTCAGTCCCAGTATAGGATCACTCAGTAGACAGGTATATATAAGGCTCTTTATACAGATAGACTCACAGACAATGTCTCACTCAGTCCCAGTATAGGATCACTCAATAGACAGGTATATATATAAGGGTCTTTATACAGATAGACTCACAGACAATGTTTCACTCAGTCCCAGTATAGGATCACTCAATAGACAGGTATATATATAAGGGTCTTTATACAGATAGACTCACAGACAATGTTTCACTCAGTCCCAGTATAGGATCACTCAATAGACAGGTATATATAAGACTTAAGACAGATAGACTCAAAGACACTGTTTCACTCAGTCCAAGTGTAGGATCACACAATAGACAGGTATATATATAAGGATCTTTATACAGATAGACCCACAGACAATGTCTCACTCAGTCCAAGTATAGGGTCACTCAATAGACAGGCATATGCTTTTTAGAGACACACAGACAACATCTGTGACTCAGTATGGTATATGGCCAGACAAGGCCTTAATATTCAGACCCAGTATATAGGATAATTTTATAGACAGTTAAACATTAGATTGTTTACAGACAGACTGACAATGTTTCACTCAGTCCCAGTATTAAGTCACTCAATAGACAGGTAAATGTCTTTTACAGACAGACAATGTTTCAGTCCCAGTATAGGATCACTTAAAAGTAAACATGTTAATGTTTTTTATAAACAAACAGATTATGTTTTTCTCAGTCCCACTATAGGATTTCTCACTAGACATTTGTTTTTTTTACAGACAGACAGACAATGTCTTACTTAGTCTCAGTATATAATTATTTTATAAACAGGTAAACATTAGGTAAATGTAACATTATTTACAGACAGACAGATAGTTTCTCATTTTGACTAAGTATAGGTGACTTAGATAAATTTTGAATGTTTACAATGTCCCCCACAGACCCAGTCCAGGATCAGTGAAAAAATAGTTCAGTGTTAGATTGTTTACAAACAGATGTCAGTATCATTTCAAAGACTTTTTATAAGATCACTAAATAGATAGGTACGTGTTAGACAATTTACAGGCAGAGGAACAGACAATAATTCAGTCAACACAACTATAACATCACTTCATAGACCATTGAACATTATATAAATAGTGCACGTTTTTGAGGGTAACAGTTGAAATTGACACCCCAAGGAAAACCATTGTCAACCCACGCGTCAGCGGAGGTTGACAATGGTTTTCCGAGGGGTGTCAATTTCAACTGTTACCCTCAAAAACGTGCACTATTTATTTTATTATACTGAATGTCTTATTGATTTCGGATGTCATTAAAAAATTCGGAGATCATCGTTAACTTCACGCTTAGAAAGCTTTCAAACTCCCCGCTTCTATTTTTCTCAATAGGAAAGCTTCGTAAAAGATTTACCAACCTCTTTATTATTTGTTTGCTACTCAAAAAGTCCTTTATCACCTAAAGTTTGCACTCGCAAGGATGTTTCGTCTGTCGTTCGTCTTTTTCAAGTAAGCTACATCGGACGCAAGCTTTTATTGACGTCGTTTATTAGGCTTCTTTTAAACGCACAACCGACGTTTTGAGAATTCTACGGTGAAGCGTACGCGCATGATTTGAATGCATGTGATATTTTCGTAATGTTACCCGTTGTCAAGTGTGTTGCTAACGCTGAGGGTAATATTACGGATTGTTAAATGTGTCTAAACCAATCAGATTTTAGTATTTAACATGAAAGTATAATAATGGACTATATACAGCAGACCAGTGATATCTCACCAAGCCACAACATAGGGATATTTTAAAAATAGACAAGTAAATGTTAAATTGAATAGTCTCACTCAGCCCTGAAAGAGGAAACTTTTAACAAATAGCATAAACAAGAGAGAGTGAAAGAGAGAGAGAGAGAAGGTTTAATCACAGCATCAGCTTCTTTTTAAATCTATCTGGTTTTTAGCTCACCTCAGCCAAAGGCTCGAGTGAGCTTTTCTGATCGAAATTTGTCTGTTGTCATCATTGTAAACTTTTCACATTTTCATCTTCTTCTCAAGAACCACTGGGCCAATTTCAAGCAAACTTGCCACAAAGTATCCTTGGGTAAAGGGGATTCATGTTTGTTCAAATGAATGGCCATGCCTTCTTCCAAGGGGAGATAATTACTAATTCGTGAAAAATTAATGGCATCATTTAAAAATCTTCTTCTCAAGAACCACTGTGCTAGAAAATATGAAACTTGTGTGGAATCATCCTCAGGCAGTGTTGATTCAAATTTGTTCAAATCATGACCCCCAGGGATAGCGTGGGGCCACAGTGGGTGATCAAAGTTTTACATAGGAATACAAAGGGAAAATCTTTAAAAATCTTCTTCTCAAGAACAGCAAGGCCATGATTGGTCATATTTATATGGAAGCATCCTCAGGTAGTGTAGATTCAAGTTTGTTCAAATCATGACCCCTGGGGATAGGGTGGGGCCACAGTGGGTGATCAAAGTTTTACATAGGAATACAGATAGGGAAAATCTTTATAAAAATCATCTCAAGAACAGCAAAACTATGACTGGTCATATTTATATGGAAGCGTCCTCAGGTAGTGTAGATTCAAGTTATTTCAAATCATGACCCCCAGAGGTAAGGTGGGGCCACAGTGGGCGATCAAAGTTTTACATGGGAAAAATCTTTCAAAATCTTATTCTTAAGAACAGCAAGGCCATGACTGGGCATAATGAATAAAAGCTTCCTCAGGTAATGTAGACTCAAAATTGTTCAAATCATGAACCCCCAGGAGTATAGAGGGGCCATAACAGGGAATCGTAGTTATACAGAGGAATATAAAGGATATGTCAATAAAAATTTTTTTTTTAAGAACAGCAAAGCCATTATTATTTAGTCATATTAATTCAAAAGCATCCCCAGGTGGTGTAGATTCAAGTTTGTTCAAATCAACCCCCTCCCCCCCCCCCCCCCCCCCCCCCTGAACCACTTTTATATTTAAACTTTTCAATACTGAACTAATTTCTGCTTTTTCCTAGCCAAAGTGCTCAGGTGAGCAATGTGGCACATGGGCCTCTTGTTCATAATCTGTGATTTTCAGATAATGAATTTTGTTTGAATAAAATCTATCAAAATACCAGCAGAGCTTTCTCTTCAAGTGTGAAAAAAGGAGAGATTCTTAAATTATTCCTTTCCATTGACTAGTGATAGGATATTTGTTCATGTTAATTATGTCTCCTCCACCCATCATTTATATGAAATCTATAAACCACCTACATACAGTAGACTATACATGAAGCAATATGTCAAACACCTGTATTATTCATTATGATGCATCAAATAACAACAGGATTTCACAAACCTGTCTGACAGGGATTTAATGAAAAGGTAAATAAAGACAACTTTTATAGTTTTGGTATTTGGAAACATTTATACGTAAGAAGGATTCATATCTTACTGTTTTATCTTGTAGAATCGAGCAGGTACAGCGCCACCTATACGGTCTGCGAGCCCACTGTCACAGAAACAGAAACTGCCATCGGACTCGGATATTGAGAACTACATGAACCGCCACAAGAAGGGACTGTTTGGAAAAAAGATTTCATTTGAACACATGCTGATCTGGTCCAAGGTAAAAATATCACTGTGTAATGAAATTCATCAATATAATAAAACCCATACAACACTTTTGTATGAATCATCTCACTTCTGAAGCTTGATTAATCGAGAGAGGTTGTGTAATGCATTTATTTAGATGAGTACTGAATCAATTGTGTATTTGCACCAATTATTTTGAATTATGTTTTGAGAGTCATTTCATCAGGAAATTCCAGAACTCAATTTTAAAAATAGAAAACTAGCAACTTTTAGAAATGATAGCACCTGTTCCACAGGTAGTTTGAAAAGGTTAAAGGTCAAGGATGAACCCTTTCAAGTGGAATGGAAAGTTTGTGTCTGGATTTATGAGTAGGAGTTGTAAAATCAATGACTTAATTGAATGGGTGAACTATTGTGACATAATGAGAACTCAGAGCTATGTCTTTTTTTCTGTGAGTAATTAATCTGGTGCCCTATCGATTGTTGAAGGCTGAATACCAGCAATCTGGTAATTGTGGAGACACATTACCTGCTCTGTATGGTTATCATCCATTGTTTATTAAAGTGATGACACATAGTTACACACTAATGAGTTGGGGAGTCATGTGTAGATTGTAACTCCTTGAGTGGGACAGATGGTGATGAGATCTCACCTATATAGCTACATGTATTAATAATCAAATGAAGTCGGTTTTAATGATTGCTGTGCTAGCATGGGGAATCTCCTGAGTTAAACTTGAGTTACCATTAGCTGTAAGCCAACAAATTCTAAGTGATTTTATTGTTATAGCAGTGATGTGATATTTTGTAGATTAATGAGTATGAAGTAATTTGCATTGCTATTATAGCATTATGGATTTAATGTTAGTGGTATATGCAAAGGTTAGATGTGAGCATTGTGACCCCATAACTGGAAATATAAATTTGTACTGATCGTATCATGCTAGGGATGACACTGTGAATTCCTTCCTGATTCAGAGGAAACACTTTATGATTTGTGTGTGTAAAAAGTGGGCTCGTATCTTACCTTCCTCCTTGGGGCTGGAGATTCTGACGATGCCAGGGGTCAGATCATGAGTAACTTTCTGAGCTCGCTGTGTCATTGTTTTAATTTTGAAACGGAGGAGGATTACATTGAGTTGTTGGAATTTGAACCTACTAAAGAAGAAACGTTTATCAGTGTAAGTTTTACTAACGTTCTAACAGTACTCAGGGCTGGAAACTAGGCAAATTAGTACATGGCAATTATTGGCATTTTGTTTCTCATGCATGATTTTTAAAATGTTGTTTGATATTTAAATCAATATATTTATTCCTGTGTAGGTACATGAATACATATGTAAGGTCACAAATTTTGCACATTCCACAGTTTTCTGCCTACAAATTTATTTCTGTCTAAAGTATTTCTATTTACGTAAAATAAAGGAATTCCTTAATTACATCATGGTTTCAGTCAGGTGGTGATTATCGTATTGGACTTTTAAAATGTTTTCTCCCTTTTTCAAGTACCTCAATTATTAATTTTTATACGTTGTTCTTAGTCACTTTCCGTTAAGCTCTACAACAAACATTAACACCACTCAAAAAATATGCAATATATTTGAAGTAATTTATGCATGCTTTAAGTATATTCAAGTTTTTATAGCAATAAATCTTGATAAGATTTACATAATATAAAGGAAAAATGACTGTGGATTATACTTATCAGAAAACAAGGTGAAAACGCCTTTCAAGCATGTGCACACTTAGAAACAAGAGACACTGATTCATAGCATACCTTGTCATGGGCTATTTTAAGGGCCAGGGAATACCTACGTGAAAAAAAGTTACGTTTTGAGTGGTATATAATTATTTTGTAACATGCATTCATATGTTTAATCTTAATGATAATGGGGTTGTGCCTAGACAAGTTTTTGGTAGGTTAAAGAATTAATTATCTAATGTATAATATTCATTTATCAGCTAGGTTATGTGCTAATACAGATTGATAAATACATGAATATGCTAACTTTTGGTTTCAGTTGTTATGATGATTTTTCCAAGAACTCCAATTGTATATGTACAAATAGATATATAAATTATACATGTGCCCTGCATGTGTTTCCTGGTACCATCTGTTTACTATGGAGTACCAGTAATATTTCATTAACCTTCAGAGTTCTTAGTCCTGTGCTATTTCTATGAACCATTTAAGTCCATTTTGTACTTTCCCTTTTATGGACTCCGTATTGAATTAACTCTCTTTCTCTGGAGAGCTTGATCACTAAATGTTCTACAGGTTCCTTCCACGTATCCTTAGCAGTATGTGCTTTATTTTTTGAGTTTTCTGTTTCCCAGTGTATTCTTGTACAGATTTACAGTAATCTACTCCTATTGATGTCATTCCTGACTATAGTTTTTAGGATCCTCTGTAATCTGCTTATAATCTGGATCATTCCTCTGTGTTTTACAGGACCCCATACAGAAGCCCATCTTGAGAACAGATGACAAAGCAGTAAAGAAAGAGGCTTGTGAAGTCTTCAAACATATCCTTCTTATTGCATAGAGAGCATGTCTTGTTCTGTAGGAGTCATCCACAACATTCCATAATACCAAAGATATATTAGATAATCAGTCTTACTGGGATTTGCTTAAAAATGAGTTATTATTATTTTTGTTTTTTTTTCGTCATTAAGAAAATGATCTTATTAACTTGCAAATACAGTCAAACTTCATGATCTCAGACTCAATGGGACCAAGAAAAAAAACTGAGATATATCCGAGGGTTCAAGATATTGAAAGTAAAGAGTAAAATGCTTTTTAAAAAAAAGCTTAGGACTTCCAAATTTCTTTACACATCCGTAGTGTTCGAAATATCCGGGTTCGAGATACCAAAGTTCAACTTGCTATAAACATGCTAAAAAGGAATTTTGTGTAATCATAGATGGAAATTTTACACTTAAATCATGCATTGTTGCTGAAAGCCTTTAATGCAGTTATATGATTATTTTCAAACAGAGAATGTATTAGCCATGGTTATAGCTAAAGTACAGAGAGAATATCTCCATCCTGTTCAATAATAATGTAACTTACAACTCGAATACATGTAATTTCTAGTAACATATGTGTCAATACAAGGTCAAATTATTATTTTTGCTGTAATTTCTCATAATCTATTTCAGTCTAAGCTACTGGTCACTTGAGGTCTGTTTATTTGGTTGAATTGATACCACAGTATTTATAAAGTACAGATTTTCAAACTTTTGCTTTATAAAACTGCATGGTCTGAATAAGTGAGTGTTAGGAAAATTCAATGTAAATGTATATTTGTTTGTGAACTTCCTTGAAAAATTGTAAATTAAACAATTTCCAGCTGATTTTAGGAAATTAAGTGATACATGTAATGTGCACCTCTTGTAATTGTACAATATACAATTACTGTGACACATCCAGTGCAGAAACAGATCAAGTTTTCTTTGTCTTTTCTTTTCTTGTTAGAGTAGTAAAAGTTATTGTACACTAATAAGTAGCTAGACCTAGCTTTCCTTAACATATTCACTGATCCAAATATACATGGGAGACAGAAAAGCTCGACTGACCCAGATGCAGGCCGCCCAGGAGATCATCAGTAAGGGGTGGAGCATCGTCAACCTCAGGGACGAAATATACATGCAACTGTGTAAACAGACTACAGAGAATAGAAAAAGGTACGTAGTGTTCAGAACCCAGACATCTTCATGTTCAGATCACCTACATACACATCAGATTTAAATTTTGTCAAATTACACATCATGTTAACATTGAACATACATATAGTGTCCTTTGTGAAGGCTGTTCTAAGTTATGAAACTTTATTTGACACTAAAATAACAAGAAGTTCAGAGGTGGACTGTCTTACATGCATTAAGTAACAGGTACCAGGTACATTGACTGGTCTGATTTTTAAAGAAAAAGTTTGCAGGGAAAAAAAATCAATGAGGTTTGCTTTATTCCAAAGAAAGAAATGAGAAAAAGTACTGCTGTTGAGTCTGATAATTTCAGAATCAATATGTCTGTCCCGACTAACAATGAGTAATAGATGGTGCTGGAATTTCTTTTATCAATTCTCTTATCTACAAAGTGCACTTGGCTTGTTAAATCAGCTAAGAACATACACATGTTTTTTTTTTGAAATATGGAAAATGAACTGTTCATCCAGCAAAACTGCAAAAGCAAGGTTTTCCATCATAAGAAATCTGACTATAATTCAGACAGTAATCACCTCATTCATGAACTGAAATAGAAATCAGGATTTGAACAGACAATGACCATATCCTATACCTAAATGTTGAATACAGTAAGTTTAATATATATCTCTGTTACCTATGGTTGCAGTGACAGTCTACAGAGAGGCTGGGAAATGATTGCAATCTGTCTCTACTTTTTCCCTCCTTCCACCAAATTCAGTGGATACTTGGAGGGTATTATTGCCAAACACCTGGACGAGTCCAATAACATCATAACAACAGAGGTAAGCAATAATTATTGTCTTAAAAAATCCTGTGTTGTGAACTTTCTGTATCATTTTAAACTTATATATATACTACTGGTACACATTTTTGCACTTCTGTACCATAAAAAAAGTTTTAAGTCTTTTAATATGGAATTTATAAACATTTTTGAGGAATAATTAAAATAAATTGAAGATTTGTTAATGGATTTATAGAGTTTTAAGGCTTTTTAAAAGTAGTGTACATATAGCTCCTGTTCTTGAAATATGTAGCCTAGATTTGTGTAATTTCCAAAGTCCATTTTTGATCTGCTTCTTTGACATCAAATTGATGTGATTTATCTACAGACACCATTGAGTCATTTTGCCCTGCAGTGTCAGAGAAGGTTAGAGAAAATCATGGCCAGTGGTCCAAAGAAAGGCCAGCGTAAACCAAACGTGGATGAAATTGAACAGGCCAAAGTGAGTACAGCTGTTCTTAGGAATAGTTTCCATGTTTGTATATACTTGTGTATCCCCATGTCCTAATCTCCTCTTCTGCTAGAGATTGCTGTGTTTACTTTCCGTATTTATTTATGTGAATACCAGGATAATGTGTTCCTCTTGGATACTTAGCAGTTACTATGTCAGAAGGTTATCATACTGCAAGCTAGCCGACAAAACACAAGTGTGACAATGCTGTAAAATTATTTTGATAACTGATATATGTGTACTTCATAAACAATGCTCTATTTAAAACACATACACACACACAACAAAACTTCAAACATGCTAGAAAGTATGGTTGTTATAAGAACAATCTGTGCCTCAACCATATTTCATTTTCTGTTTTATCCTTCTTTAGGTAAGAAAGGGCATTTTATTTTGGTGTTTATGGAGAACAATATGATAATATTTTGTATTTGTTTTTAGAAATCTGTCTTTTCCCCCTCCATGTTTGGGAGTTCCCTTGATGACATCATGCTTCTACAGAAAGAGAGATTTCCTGATCGAAAGTTGCCATGGATACAGACAGCTCTGTCCGAGGAAGTACTGAGATATAATGGAGCACAGACTGAAGGAATATTTAGGTAACAGGAACTATTTGTAGTAATTATAATACATTGATCACTGCTAGATTTACTGTGTATCTTTTGAATTAAAGTAACTAATGGTTGTCATTTATAAATAATGAGGGAGTTGCTTCAATGAAAAATCTACATTAACAATAAAAAAAATAATTTTAAAATTTAAACTTGTATGAGTCCAAGCAGGCTATATGTTTTTCCCTATTTATTGTTTCCATCAATGTTGAAATTTTATAAATAGCTTGAAGTATGAGTAGGTCATTGTTGTGCCTTTTATTACAGAGTTCCCGGTGATATAGACGAAGTGAACGCCCTGAAGTTGAAGTGTGACCAGTGGTCCCTCCCTACTGACTGTGTTGATCCCCACATCCCTGCCTCACTTCTCAAGCTCTGGTACAGAGAACTTTATGAACCCCTCATTCCTGCCGAGTTCTATGAACAATGTATACTGAATTACCAGAATCCTGAGGCAGCCATTGATGTTGTCAGTAAACTTCCTGATATCAACAGATTGGTCTTAGCTTATCTCATCCGATTTCTGCAGGTATATATTGAAATGACTTATAACACTGAAAAAGGGAATAGTATTGATAAGATATTCTTCTGGAATGTTGAAATTAATATAATTTGACAAATTGACTTTTTTTCACATAGTCTTTGTGTTTAAATCTGGATAAAAATAGATGTAGTCTTTCATTTGTTCTAGAGAAGGATTCTACATTACTGTACAAAGATTTGTCTCTTTAACTGTAAGACAATTTTAGTATTTCTTAGCATCTAAAATCAACCACATATGTTGATACATGTATACTTAATAGGTGTTTGCTGCTGAGGAAAATTCCAAAACGACCAAAATGGATGTGAATAACCTAGCAATGGTGATGGCACCAAACTGTTTACGCTGTGAATGCATAGACCCTCATACGATATTTGAAAATACACGTAAAGAAATGGGATTTATTAGGACACTGATTCAGAATTTGGACACAAGTTTCATGGAAGGAATCGTATGATGCAAAGCCAAATCATAGAACTACTTAATTATTTTGTAATTATTTAATATTATATCAAATTGTACATATGTATATTGTAAAGATATAACTACACAATTTTTTTGTGTATTATTGTTCATGCACTTGGATAAAACTTCGTATAGATTGGGCTTTTTAATTCAGAATTAGATCTGTTGTATTAATTATTTTTTGGCATTTAGATAGACTGATAGGGAACCAATTATTTTATGGATAAAGTTATGTATGTGTATCCAGCATGTTAAATCTGCACAGGTATTTGGGCGTCTATACATTGGCCACTCATAGTTTAACACCTTAAAATTGATCCTGGAAGTGTTGGATTTAGATTTAACTCTTATCATGTTTTACAAAATAAAATCTGTTCCTTAATTTCAAAGACAACATGTCAAAACAATGTTTGAGAAGTTGGCTTTCATGGATTTTGTGTATTTTCTGCTTGATTTTCCACAGCTCCTGTTTTTAGTGAATCTCTTGATTCTACAGACTTAGATGGTGTTATACTTTTGTGGACCATTGTATGATTATTATTAATCAGAACCTCTTTATTGTGTTAAAAAATTTCACCCACAATTTGTGATAAGTGCAATAGTTTTTCAAATTCTATACATTTGGTTGTCAGTGTTGTTGTCTGTCAATAGTTCATAAAGTTCAACCTGTGTAGGAGCACCTGTAAATGCTGTAAATAACTGAAGCTGTAAATTAAGGCTTGAATGAAATGTTATGATAATATAAATGTTATCTGCCAAGTCTGATCTGTATTTGTTGTGTTTGTTTTCTGTATACCCATGTTTGTTAATCATGTTGGATACATTATGTTTAAATATTGCATTCCAACAAGAAATGTCATTAGCTGTAATCTTTTAAATTTCATCAGGATATGAAGTCACACACTGTTGTTGATATTTTTAATTGAGGAAATGTGAGAATTTTTTTGTCAGAACCTTTGATGAAAGTCTGTTCTGTATCTATAAATCCTCCAAGGCTAGCATCATAATTCTTGAAATTGTACATAAGTAACACTCTTAGTTTTAATCATCTTTTGTATAACTGTGGTACCAAAATCTTGGTTTCTGATCTCCAAGCAAATCAGATTTAAGGATATATATAATTTAAGGGTTTCAAAATTTTAACACCTGACAAATTATTGTACAATTTGACTTTGACCAATGGCACACTTGGACATTGATGGTGCAAAGGAAACAAATCAATTTCAACATTGATTCATTTTCCTGGAGCTCCTTTTGGATCTTTTTATTTACACTGTGTTTGTGCAGTTGATTTTAATAAGTGGAAGCTGTGCTTTGTTTTTAGTGAAGCTCGGAGTGAAATGGCCTCTTTTCTTATGTGCAATAGTAAAAAATCTACCAATCATTTCTTTGGTTTATTTACTGCAGGGATATTAATGCTATGGATGTTTCTTTTTTCAATTTACTGAGCATTGGTGTTTATTATTATTTTTTTCTTTTGAAACACTTATCAAAATAGTTTAATGGTGCTTAAAATTAGGAAACGCATGATGTTCTAAGGGAGATAACCCTTGAGTTTTTTTAGACTGCCGAAGTGAGAAATGAACAAGTCTGATACATGTTTCATAGAACTAAATATTGTAGAGTTTCAGGTGCTTTTAAATAATTCTACGGGTCATTGAGACAAAGTGTTCCTTAATTTTTGAAAAGGTTTTGCAATTGTATCAAGCATTTTCTAGTTAATCTTGAAAGATTTTCAGATGAACAAAAACAAAAAATATCTCATGATCATAGTTTAGAACAATTTTAAGTAATGAAATAAATAATAAATAAAAAAAACAATAACAACAACAATAACACTTATTAGATAGATTTTTTAGCTTAGTAAACTGAAGTGAGGATTTAGAACAAAATGTTCGTGTGATATTGAATACAGTGTAATTAACGCATCATTTTCATCAAAAAGGGACTATTTTAGATGCACTGTTAACACACTAATTTTCTTCAGAGCGCCTTGCATTTGCATTGGTGTTTTTTAGTGTAAGGTATACCAGTAATTTTTTTTTTTTCAATCATCCAGTATGCAAGGTGATAAAAAAAAGTGCTAACCATGAACAAATTACTGAGACATGTTTTGCATGTAGAGATATGGGAGTTAGTGTGAGCATGGTCTACTTCCTCTAATCATTGAGTGTCATTTAGTGTGTATATGTGTCCAAATTGTTAATCTTGAAATTGGAAGCTTTATTTATAAATTTATTAAGTATTCAAATTAAGCATACAAAATAAATTTTAAAAACTATGAGATGGATGTGTTTTTATTCAAATGTCCAGCATACATGGATTACTGTAATTTAGAATGTCTATAAAAGTGTAGCCTTAAAAGAATATGGAACACATTCTTACTTTGTGATGTCCGTCAATGATATTTAAAATACCCCATAACTGTTCAAGTTATATTCAAATAAAAAAAAATCTAATAAACAAGGGAAATGTGGTAACCCAAGTTTTAACCTTAATACAGATAGTACAAAACAGTCCATATTGTTTTGTCTGCCTTAACTTGTTACACGGTACAGTTTTTCTCGTGAATATAGTAATCAACAATCTCTCACACACATTTAATACATTACATTCAATAACCATTAACAGCTGCAAAGAAAAATATTTATGATAAGGCCAACTTTAAAATAATGTTTGCTTGCCCTTTCTGGACTCAGGATGATAAAATTGAGTCGGTAGGTAGGTGAGAATTTTTTTTTTTCCAAAGAAAATTTCAAATACAATGCTGAATTTTCAAAATCTGTATTCCGGAATGCATAAAAAAATAATTCCTTCTTGGAGATAAAAAAAAAGTTTTGAGTTGGGCCATTTTTAGCCAGTAGGTCTGGAGAGGGCAACCAAACAATTTTCTAAAGATGGCCTAATTGTTAATCAGATTCAGGTGGCAATTATCCTCATTATGTTGAACTCTGTGGAACCAAGAAAACTTCGAGATATCTGAGGATTTGAAATAGCAAGGGTAAAATACTCAAGTAATAAGTTGTTGGGACTTCCATATTACATATACATATCTATGGTATTCAAGATACTGATGTTTGAGAGACCGAAGTTTAACTGTATGTATGCATTTCAACAAGAAGTCACTTGCTAATATCTACCAGTGAATAAGTAAAATCAAATTCAGATCTTTATATAAGGTTTGTTTTTTTCATACCTGCATTTTCAAAACAAAGATCGACGACATTTTTATACCTGTCCATTTATCTATCATGCCCTCTGTTATCCCTATTCCTACATTTTTAGACCTAACCATCCTCACCATGCCTGGTGTCCACTCATGGCCATGGGACCCCTGACAAACTTCTCGTTTTTTTTTTTTTTTTGTACAGACTGACTGCAGCTAGTGATGTCTTGGGGAAAATATAAAATCCTGATTGTTTTTCTTATCTCTTGACCAATCACGTTAAGCCTTTTGATTACAAACAACCTGTTACCTGTAAAACATGCACTGAGGTATCAACAGGTAACTTTCTGTTTACTTTTTAGCTCACCTGAGCTCAAAGTTCAAGTGAGCTTTTCTGATCACCCATTGTCCGTCCGTCTAGCTGTCCATCCGTCCATCTAGCTGTCTGTCTGTCCATTTTGAATTCTTCTCAAGAACCACTGGGCCAATTTTAAGGACATACGCAACGTAGTTTGAACTTTATTGTATTTTTCCCTGGAGTTGAAGAGTTCCAATACTTAAAGGAACTGTGTTGTACATTTTTATGTCTACATATGCTATTATACACTCCTTCTAAAACAGGTTTGGATAAACAAAACATTTAGAATATATGTTGAGTAATTTTTGTAATTTTGTCTTTGAATTATACAAGAATTTTCATCAATTGATATCTTTTCAAAACCCCTGGTAATGCATGTTGATTTTTTGTCTACGAACATCTGATGGTACTATAATCTTAAATTAAGAATATCTCGAAAAATTATCAGTAGGTAAGGTACGTACCAAATTGGCACACAACAATCGTGGGTAAAGGGAATTCTAAATTGTTCAAAAGAAGGGCCAAGCCTGCTGCCAAGGGGAGATAATGAAGAAAAGGCAGAAATAAGATGGGGTCATTTAATAATCTTCTTCTCGAGAACCACTGGGCCACAAAAGGTAAAACTATGGTGGAAGCTTCCTGAGGAAGTGTAGAATCTAATTTGTTCAAATCATGACCCCCAGGGTTGGGGTGGGGCAACAATAGGGGATGAAATTTTTACTTTGAAATAAATAGGAAAAATCTTTTCAAAAGCCACAGGGCCACAAAAGGTAAAACTTATGTTGAAGCTTCCTGAGGGATTATAGATTCTAAATTATTCAAATCATGACCCCTGGGGTTAGGTCGGGGCCTCAATAGGGGATGAAAGTTTTATTTTGAAATATATAAGAAAAATCTTTAAAAATCATCTTCTCAAAACTAGTGGGACAAAAGGTAAAAACTTATGTGGAAGTTTCCTGAGGAAGGGAAGATTCTACACTATTCAATCATGACACCCCAGGGTTAGAGTGGGGCCACAATAATGGATCAAAGTTGAACATTGAAATATATAAGAAAAATCTTTAAAAATCTTCTTCTCAAGATCTACTGGATTAGAAAAGACAAAACTTATGTGAAGGATTCCTGTAGATTTTAAATTATTCCAATCACGACCCCCAGGGTCAAGGTGGGGCTACAAAAAAAAAAAAAAGAGATAAATGTTTTACATTGAAATATACATGTATAAAAAAAAAAATCTTTAAAAATCGTTTTAAGAACAGCAAGGCTGCAATTAATCATAATTATATGGAAACATTCTCGGGTAGTATAGATTCAAAATTGTTCACTTTTCCACTATTAATTCCTTTGGTAAAAGTGAGACTGAGATAAAAAAAGTGAGCTCATCTAAGTTTTATGGCCTCGGAGCCAGGAAACATGTAAAACTTCACTTGTCAAAGTGAAAGGCAGAGGAAGATAAGGATGCCTCTCATAGCTCTATAATTATCTGAGGTAATTATCTTGAGTGAAGGACTTCTACTTAAATAGGAAAATATTGTTGATTCAAGTTACATAATATTCAGTTTCAGTTTCAAACAAAAATATTCAGTTTTTTAGCCCCCCCCCCCCCCCAATGCTTTTGAAATATCAATGTAATATGCTGCAAATACCCTAGACAATTTATAAAGGAATAAATCCCCCACCCCCAATAAAAAAAATTGAAAGAAGAGCTTGGAGAACTTCCTTGAAGCAGAATTTTATTGGGCATACATTACCTTAACCTTCCTTAGATCTATAAAAAAATAAACTATGGTCCTGGCATACATCTGTTAATTTCTTGTTTGGAAACTTCCTTGTTTTGAGAGCATATTTTTTAAAATAGGTTCTGCCAGCTAGTCACATGTCACACCTCTGTGTTGGTGGCCCTGGAAATAATTTGGTACCTGAGTGGCAGTGGCAAAAGGTGAATCTCCAACTGGAACTGGGCTAGCGGAAGGAAACCTCCAACAGCAAACCAATGGTTCTACGGGTCCAGGGTGTTATGCATAGGTTAGCAGCCCTACCATATAAAATCTCTCCATTACAGATACCAGAACAACAGCAAAAATCCAGCACTCAATTCAGGGAGATACCTCATCTAAAGTCGTAAGACACAGACTGGTGAAAGCTATATGGAAACCAGTCAGCCAAAAAATTTCCTGATGATGAAAGCAGTAACAAGGACAGGGACCTGGAACGTGCAAACTGGGAATGTCAAGGTAGGTGCAGACAACTCTCTGAAAGAACTCATTATATGGGCACCCAAGTACTCGAGGACATGAATGAGAATGGAGAGTTGTTCACAGATTTTTGTGCATTCAATGACCTGGTGATAGCAGGAAGTGTCTACCATCTAAAAACATCCACAAAGAACTTGGGTTTCCCCTGATGAAAAAAACCAGGAATCAGATAGACTTCACCACTGTCTCTAGGAAGTGAAGACCCAGCCTCCTTGACACATGTCCAACAAGAGGGGCTGATGTAGCTTCAGACCACCACCTAGCGCTGGGTACCATCAAAGTCACGTTGAAAGCATTGAAGGACAACTAACAGACCACACATCAAGTTAAACACCCAGAGAATGAAAGAAAAAATACACAAGGGAGACCTTTGCCATCACCCTGTAAAGCAGATTGAAGACTTTTAAGAATGTCTGCCTAGAGACATTCCTTGAAGAACACTGAACTCCATCAAAGACAAGTGGAGAGACACATGTGATGAGAACCTAGGGAAAAGAAAGAAACATTAGATGGAGAATGGCTTACTGGTAGCTCATGAAGCTGGTAGAGGAAAGGAAGCTTCTTAAGCAGCAGATAATTAGCTGTGAAGATGAGCAAAAAAACAAGAATTGAAAGACAGATACACTATACTTAATAATGAAGTAAAGAAAAGGAGGAGAAATAAGAGACTTTTTTACAATAAACTAGCATCATGATTCTCTCTGTCCCAAGCAAGATTCCGACAAGAATAATCCTGGAAAGGCTTAAACTTTAAGATGCCATAGAAAAATGACTTTGTCCAGACCAGGCCGGTTTTAGAAAGAACAAGTCTTGTATGGACCAGATCGTCACTCTCAGTGTTTGGGAGACCATAACTTCACCGATGACTTATGTCTTATTTCCCAGAAATATGAGCACATACAGCTCAAGACAGATAAGCTGGCCAGGAAGCAGCAAAGACAGGTCTACAGGTCAACACTAACAAGACACTCAGATTTCATGTGACTCAACAACAAATATACACCAATAACTCTTAATGAGCATAACCTGAAAGACTAAGGCAATTCCAAGTTTTTTATTTGTTTAGCATCCACCCTAAATTCGAAAACCTATCTTCCTATCCAGAAAAAACACACAAACCAAAAGGGAAAAAACACAACAATTTAAGCACAATTCTAGAATTTCTTATCATCATTTGAGAATTCTCCTCGTATGGTAACTAAGTTAAACTACTAGTTAATTGAAACAAAACATTTTTGGTACACATTTTAATAAAAAAGAGAGTTGCTGATCCCAAAAGAGAAAATTGCGTTTCAAAGATTTGTATTTGTCGATTTTAATTTGTGTTTGTTTTTAATTTCATAACTTCAAAACCAATCTGTCTGCGGACGCTAGTCATAGAAAAAATTTGGAATGGCCTTAGACTCTTTTACATTATACTTAGGCAGCATTGTCTCAGCCACTGGTGGAACAGATTAAGACATTAAAGCAAGGATGAGTATAACTTAAAGCAAAATATGCCTTCATCACCCGCAAAGAAACCTGTGTGGAGATCAGCAGCACTGTCCATGCACAACAAGCTCTGTATTTACAACAGTAATGTAAATTCTGTGCTACTCCATGGATCAGAAATGTGGAAAGTCTCCAACACCACCTCCAACAAACTACAAACCTTAACAAACAGATGACTGTGCCACATACTGAACATCAGATGGCCAGAAAAGATAAGCAATAAGAACCTGTGGCAAGCAACAAACCAAGACCTGATCTCTCAGCAAATAGCCTGTAGGAAGTGGCAGGGAATTGGGCACACCCTTGGAAAACCAACAGTAGACAATAACATGCCACAGACAAACATTGGGTCAAACGTCCCAGGACAACTTGGCAAAGGTCATGTTGAGAGGAAGTCAGTCAGTGTGGACAGAGCAGGGGGACAAAAAGGCTGCCCGAAAAAGAATGTGCTGGAGACTGTATGTTCCTCCTGGAGCGTATTAGGACGATGATGGCAAGAAATTAGTCCTGACTTTCACCTATGTCCTTTGTAACCAGTAACAAAGGACTGCAAGTTTAATACATAAGCCTGTACCTAAGTAGTTTACTGTTTACAATGTTTACAGAGGTCACAGTGGTTATAAAGTGATAATTTCATGCTAGTATTAATTGTTACTGTTAAACTGTTAATTTTTTGCATTGGTAGTGGTAATGGTTACTTTGACTTTTTGCAATGATATAAATTCACTTTTTCATGATAAGATTTTTCAATTAAATTTAATTGACAGGTGCACTTAACAATGCATGAATACTAATATCAATTCATTAAGTTTATATAATCAGATTTCTTTAAAAAAAAAGGGGGGAGGGAATGAAATGTATCTTAAACTGAGAGATATGTTACCTTTGTTACCATATTAAATAGTCCTGTAACCAGGTAACAGGGTTACAAATAAACGTTAGTGAAAGTTACGACTGATTTCCTGCCATATCTATTTTAGAGATATACAGATTTTGAACATTTACTTAAAAAAATATTTTCCAAAAATTTCAGTTATAATCAGCTTAAGATGAAATAATAAACTCTTTACAAAGTTGTTTTTTTTAAAGTTTTTTTTTATTAATTTTTTTCCCCTCGCTTTAAATAAAATTTTAATAAAATGACAAAGATTTAATATGAATTATTCAACAATATCAAAATAAACCAGCAAAATTACTCCACTATTATCCATGCACAAAGTAGATCCGTGCCTCTGGATCTCAATAACGGTACAATATTAACGTCACAAATATGCAAATTTTGAGTTCATGACCCGCAAGCCGGGGCAAGTGGGACGAAGCGTTGGATCACATTTCTAACGAAGTTGTTCCGTTTAATGTCGGCGAACAGCAGAGATTTTTATTTCACAGTGGATTACAAGAATTCGATACCATTAAAACTGGAATTAACATGACAGAAGAAGTCTTTAAAGGTATTTTTACAATATTTTCAATTGTTTTGATTGTTTCATTTACGTCTGGAAGCGTGTGCAGCGAATATATAGAAGTGGGGTTTGTGTCTTCATCGACACAATAGACCGCCATTACGAATTGGTTTGTAAAAATTGTGTTTTCTACTAAAGATTGAGCGAGATTATACACTAGAATTGTCTCTGTTGGATTACGAACAATGATTATTCTTATAAAATGTCGATCAATTAAAACTTTTCTGTCAGTTTGCTCCAGACAGGTGAAAAAGACAAGGTTTCTGTCAACTTGGTGGTTGTTGTTTTGTTCAGGTATTGTTCAATTATTTTCGTCATGAATTTATTAAAGATTGTTATATTTTGTCATTTCAGCACCCAAGAAGAGGAAAATCGTGGGGAAAGTTGATTATGAGGTAAGAACACAACCTTTTCTATGATGATTTCAAAAAATTTGACGCTCGTTCAAAGATGGCGGCCATTTGGTCAGCCATTTTTATGAAGTTGAGCAATCAGAGAATAACACTGGGTTTTCAGAAGGTGTATTACAGTAAAATGACTTAAGTTTATTCTACTATAAATATGCCTTTACTTGATTAACAATACACTAAACTTAATCAAAAATGTACCATATCTTGTAGATGAAGACACCATAATAATAATAAAATGCCACCATTTCTTTTGACAGGTTGGGAACAATTAATCGCCCAAAATGGGATATAATAACCCGTCTACTCTTGGATATAATATCCCAAATGGGATATAAATTTACAGTGCAAAAAAATGAAAATTTTTATTTTGGCTATAAATATCATAAATCCGCATCAAAATACTTTAAAAGGAATAACTTTTGGCAAGCAAGTTTTTCTGTATGGCCAAAGATTTATCCCTCGGATGTTCGTAAACTTCTTGGGGATCAATCTAACAACCCGTAGGGTTGCAGAAAAACTTGCTTGCCAAAAGTTATTCCTTTTAAAGTAATTTGATGCGGATTTATGATATTTATAGCCAAAATAAAAATTTTCATTTTTTGGCACTGTAAATTTATATCCCATTTGGGATATTATATTCCAGACGGGTTATTATATCCCATTTGGGTGATTGTTCCCAACCTGTTTGATAAAGAAAACATGAACATCAGAGAGAAACACTAACAAACATGATTTAACAAAAAATGAAAAAGCAGGTATATTAAAAAAAAAAATGAAAAAGCAGCTATATCAGAATAAATTCACTTTGAAACACAAAATCGAATAGATGTAACGTCCCATTTGTTTGATATTACTCCTTTACAGAAGTGTTGTACTTACTACATGGTTACTATAGGTCTAAAACTTTATTTTGATCAAATATAAAATGTTAAAGGTTAGAATTATAGGTCTTTTGATCTCTGAATTGGGAGTTGATTGTAGATAATGCTCATTTTCAGAGTATCTGAGTTAATTTCTAACATTTTCTATGCTATTCTCAATGCACATGTATACATGGTTGTCATTCTAAAATTATGGTATTGAGGTGCTAGAATCTTCCTGATGTTTCAAACATTGAACCAGTTTTTCAGTTTCTTGCTTAATATGTGAGAATTTGGACTTTCACACAACCAATTTTACTGATATTCATTGCTCCACTGTAAGGAAATTTGCTTAGTCGTTACTAAAATAGTTTAATGGGATAAAATTACTTAGTCTAATGTCTACTATAAGCATTCTGGAAGTATTAAAATGCATTAGTGCATGCATGTGTAGCAGTTATGCAAAACATTGCCCATGTTTTATGTGCCATATGTTACTTAACATGTCAGTTGGAGAAATTAATAATTTCATTGTCCACTTGTGAAGGTAAAAACTCTAAAACATTTCATGTAGAACAGGAGAAATAGTAAAACAACAGAAAAGAACATGAAAGGAAGAGCAGAATAATGCAGTAAAAAAGCAATTGCTTGAAAATTTCTTCAATGGGTGTCAGCTAGAGAACATGCAATCATGTGGTTTTAATGTCATTTTGGTTAAATGCTGATAACTGTTAAATATATGTATTTACGTTTTGCCATTGCTTTTAGTGAATAATACTTCATGCATCTAGGATAAGGCCAGTATGATTTTATTGTCCGCAACTCAGTGCACACAATGCACTTACAAGTCTTGATTATGGACATCCATAAATTTAGCAAAGGAACAATTGAAGGGAAAACAGAAGAAATGCATCTCAATAATCAAGACATGATAACTATCTGTGTATTTCTGAGTAGCAGCCATTTATTTGAAATGCGTTTATACCAAGAATTGCACAATGATACACATTTGAAGTAATTAATTTAATATTCACAGATACGATGCATGCAGAAATATGTATGTCCATTAATTGACAGTATGTAGCATATTTATGTGTCAAAAGTAGAAAAGTATGAAAATGGGTTTAAAGAATTTGCAAACAGTATGTAGTCTTTTTGTTACCTTAGAAGGTATTTATAAACATTAGATTTATTTATGTATCAGAAAATGTAGAACTTTCTAAGGTAAAATATGCTAGAACTATAACATAAGTGGGGAAAAATATCTATTTTGAGAAGACCCCTTGTTATTTTACGTATTCTACACATTTTGACAAAGGCTCATTAATCACTCCATGTTTACTTGGATAATAATTAGTAACAACTGATAATTCCAGTGTTCCCCTGGACCAGCATACTAAAGGTTCCATTATCTGTCCTTGATATCCTCCAAAACTCAAAATCTATTGCAGAATTCTGCATAGAAAATATTCAGCCATCTTCTCTCTCCCTGGAATGGCGGCAGAGAAATTGACAAACTTAATGAATATTCATGAGATTTGTGTGGTAGAACTTTGACCTATGATACTATGAATGGCATTGAGTTCATTTAAAAGGCTTGTGTACAGATCAGTAGGTTTAAGACTGGGAGAGCAATAACATTGTTTGTTTCACCTTCGGACTAAAATGTTTCAGAAAACATGCGAGTAGTTTCCTTAAAGGTAGGATTATCAGAACTTTTACAGAAAATGACTCTATAATTTTTTTCCCTGGGTTATATTGATTTTCTTGATGTAATTCTGTATGTCATGTTCATGAGTCATGTATGATTAGGATATAATTTCATCTCCTATATATGTAGTCAGTAGCCATTATATCTATTCTACAGTAATTTTATTGTTGTTATTAATACACAGAAGTCATGAGGGTTGTTCTACAGTGTAACTCTTACAGGCAGCCTGTCGAAACATGTGACAAATTTACATCATAAACTGTGAATGGTCTCCTTCTTACACCCGACCCCTCAACCAGAACGGTTCTCTACCCCTATAATCTTTCCAAGGATCATGTCAAATTATATTTTTAGTAATTATGTTTATTTTTGTTGTGTTGTACACAAATTTACCCTTAGGATATGCAAAACATGAAACCAGTGTATAAATTTTTGATTTTTAAGTACCACAGTAGTCAAACATGGAATAGGTGATGCACAATCAGTAAAATCTGATATTTGGAATGACATGGAATCTTTTGTTTGTTATTTCAGCATTCGGGAAGTCTACCTCCAAGGCGTAAGAAGACCAAGGAGGATTTTTACATGTTTTGTACAATGATCATGGAGTACACGCAGTACGAGACCCAGCGGAGTGAGGTGAGAATTTGTATCCTTGTATCAGACCACTCTAGTCACATGTTCTTAACACCAGTCAAAGTACTGAACCTAAAAATGGCAAGAGAAAACCAGGGGGCACTGTATAAACAACCAGGATGTATTTGACAGTTTCTAGGTCACATCATGCGTTATCTTTGGGAGAAGTTCATAAATAACAAGGAAAAAGATTAGGAAGGTAGGCATGGTCTGAATTTCTGTAGGCAAGTATTGAAGCAGGGGCTGTAGGACAGAAGATTCAATTTCAAGGCTTACATTGTGTATTTAATGTTAACATCAATATGATACGCACTGATGGGTACAATATCATTAACATAATGCTAAAGCATTGAAGCAAGGTAGCTGTACATTGAATTTTTCTCACCTATCATTGATTATTTTGTCGTTTAACTTGTGCAAACAGTGAAGTCGACCGGATGCATTTAAATAACAGTATTCACCTAGATAGAACTTAAATCCTCTCTAAAATCAACATTTAGATCCTGTTCATGTAGATAAACAGAAAATCAATTCTGTGTCTTTAACTTACCCAAAAAATATCACCATTAAAGAGAGTAAATTACTCCTGGATCAGGAGCAACCATCTTGAACTATAGGAAATCAATGGTTTACTGGGATATAGATTTTTTCTGTGGACGGCTGGGATTGACTTTCGATCCATACCGAAATAGACAGAAGACTATATAACCTGTCTAACAAGTTGTACTACGTTGTCCCCGCCATGTGACCTAGTTGTCACCTCAGTATTGACTTGATTAAACGTAGGCAGGATGTTGAAGTTTTGCCAAGTATTTTGGAGCACCTGTAGTGATATACTGCGTAGTAGTTACGTAGTAGTTATGTGAGGGTTACACACACCTTCCAGGCTAATTAGAGAGTGGCCTCGAAAGCAGATATGTTTTTAAAATTGTCTCTTTTGGCAAATAAACATGACTGTTCAGGGTTTAAATTGTTTTTCCACAAGCTTGAGTTTCATTCAAACCTTTAAAAAGAAGTATTTAGATTTATTGAAATTTAGATTCATTTGTTTAAATAACAAATCATACACCACTGCATTGTATAGGGCAGCCCATCTGTATTGAAGTGAATGAAAATATGTTAGCCATTTTGTGCTGCAGTGAGAATTAAGTGGATCAAGTCTGTAAAACTCAAAGCTGACAAAAGTAGTTGCAATTACACAAACATTTAAGAGGTTTAGACATGAATATTATATAGGTACATTAATTTTAAATTCTGAAGAGCAATACACCTGCGAAATATGATCAAATTACTGATTTGACAGTGGAAAATTAGGCTCTGACAAGGATTACAGGCATTTAACTTGTGAGTTGTTATTTATAGATTCTCTGATGCTCATTTATATATAAAGCAAGTACATAGGTATACTAGATTGTGTTGTATTTACAGGACCTGCGTGTGAATCATAACATGAGTCCGCTGGACAGTAGCGGGAGCACAGCCGAGAGTTATACGTCAGACACAACACTGTCTGCTGGCAGTCCTACACATCAATTCTCCAGCTCTCAGGAACTCAATGACTCAGGTATAGCACACATTACCAATACTTTATGGGGAAGAAGAAATCTCTTAGTTATAAAGTTAGATTTTGTGAGCTCTATAGTGATATGATAAAATAGCATTTGTTTATTTGTTTTCTTTTACAGAGGAGGAGTCCGAGTTGATCACCTGTTTCTGTATGAAGCCATACGCAGGGCGACCAATGATTGAGTGCTCTGAGTGTGAAACCTGGATCCACTTCTCATGTGCTAAAATCCGCAAAAACAATGTCCCTGAAATTTACACATGCCAGCTGTGTAGAGACTCCAAATTCACTGCCCGCAAATCAAATCGTGTCAGAACTGAGAACAACAAATTTACAACGTAACTAGTGCTACTACAGCTCAGAGCTTGTGATTGGGCCGAGTGAGTGTAAGAAAGTGTGAATGGGTGTTATGTTGACAATGCTATTTTTATGACGTATTTTTTTTTGTGTACAAAGATTCATTTCTATTCATCCTTTTCATTGCATTCATGATATTAAACTCAAAGTGTGCAAAATTCAATGGAAAAATGCTATTTATGTTTAAAAGTCGACTTATGCTTTGTCATCTAATTTTTGTGGGGTCCATATCTTAAAGATAGAGGATAAAATATCTCCTCCCCCAAAAAATACTTTGTTGAATCTCTGTATCTAGAAGTAAAACAGTAGGGACCAATGCAAAATATTTTTTCTAAAACTAAAAGTTAAACTTGCCTTTGTGTTTGGGGGAAAAAAAACAGCTGTGAACAACATATTTATGCTGTGATGTTTTACATTTCCTTTACCAATAGTCCCTTTCAAAAATGCATTTAGTTTGTATTGCAGTACCAAAAAAAAAGTCGTGCATTTTAATTTTTTCACCATTGATAGAAAATTTTCACATTCCCAAATACTTGACAAGTAAACCATGATCTTACACTAACAACTGCCCTTCATATGAATACTGTGAGGTATGCATGGTATTCTAATTGGCATTATTCAAAACCATTTTAGTTCTTGCATTTATAAGAATTTATCTACAGTACTTATGTTAAAAGATTCCTTTTACAATTTTTATCTAGGTAATGATAGCCAATGTCCTTGTTAAAAAAAACAAAAAGATCATTATAAAGTACAGACATAAGTTTGTGGCAGCTCTTAAATAAAGAAATAATTACACAAACATATCCTTGAAATGTCATTGGAAAATTGAATAATGAGGAATTTGCACTTTTTGTTTAGTTTAGAGGGTATTGATTAGTCTCATGTATATTGTTTGTCCCAACGATCTCAGATACTGTCATCTTCATATGCTTTCAATATGCAATTTAATTTTTCTGCCTTGACGCATCACTAATTTTCTTTATTAGTTTATCATTTCTTTGTATAAGGAGTAAATTATATAATAAGGTATTTGAAACCATCTTTTATTAGCAAATGAAAAATGGAAACCTCTGCAGAAACACAATTTGCCACCTCTTACTAACACTGCATAGAACTGGTTATCAGTTGTCAGTCAACCTCTATAGGCATTGTTGAGGCCAAAATTCTGAAAATCATTATTGCACCAGGTACTCTCATAAAGAGAATACCTTTTAATTGCCAGTAAGATTTGGTTTAGGGAATACCTGAGAATATTGTGTGGTCTTACATGTATTTTTTCAGGTGAGTTGATGTCTTGGGAGTACAACTCTAAATCAGTAAATCCATTGTACAGTGCTGTATCAAATTTTAAATGTGTCTAATTTTGTAAATAGTGACCAGTGTTAAAAATAATTTTAACATTTTAACGAGGTTAGGAAATGCAGACAAGTCTTTCTGTGATGCTTTTAAATGGCAATTTTTTTTCTTTAGTGAATCTAAGAAACATTCAAATGAAATAAAATAATGGATTTTTGAAGAAAAATGGAACCTTGATTAACCTGATTAACTTTGATGTTTTGTCTTCATTTGTAGGCTATCTGCACTTCATTTTAATAACTGGTTGTTGTAAATACTGTGTTCATACTTTGTAAATATTTTGTTTATAGAACTATTTTCACAAATCATTTTCATTGTACTTGTTAAAGATTCCCTACATATTAAATTGTAAAACTAAATTCTATCATGTTGGTTTTTGTAACTCGGTATTTCTGTTTAATTTACAAGAGGAAGTTATCTGGGAATTGGATGCTTTAGCTTCCTTATTTGTATAGTGTCTCAAAGCCCTTTTGTTGTTTTTGTTGAAAAATGGACAGAATAGATGAGGGAGAATTTCATACATCGAAGTCTTTTTTAAGGTGAAATATCCCTCTGCTCCAAATTTCAGCAATTTTTTTTTCAATTCCCAACATTGACAATAGCATTAGATTCAAATGGAAAATAGTTTGAAGTATGAAGCATTGCTTACTTTTTCAGAAATGAATATTACCGTTATGTCTAATCATGATATGAAGAAAACTTGATATGCTGAATAGAAAGATCAATAATTTTTTGTCTCACCCTGAAATTAAAAATATGAGGTATATATGAAAATAATATTTACTATCATACCTATCTAATTCACATTAGAAAACATGATGAAGCATTGCTTTTTAAATCAGAACATCACATTGTTTCTGTGCTTGTAAAAATGCATCTATCTACAATAGTATCTTTCCATCTACAGCAGTTATCGTTCTTCAAAATATTTTTTGGTGAAAAAAAATATTGATTGTAAAAATTCTGGTTAGTCTGCATCTGAAATTTCTGTAACAATTAAAAGAATTAAATGTTAAGAGATAGAAATATCTCAATTTTAACAAGTTTAAAGGAACTGAATATAAATGTTTTAGGTAAACTATTACAAGTAATTAATAAAAATATAAGCAATAGAAAACTGAAATCAATATTTGTAACATAAGTTGGACTTGAATGAGTTGACTATACAATGGTCCTCATTATTTAATTCTGGTAAGACAACTCATTGGATTTCTCGGAATAAATTCATTGAAAAGTTATCTCTCTTATCTGAGGGTTATTACACCTTCCCAGGAACCCATGTACCACCTGCTTTATAGCACTATTGAAGATATAAATAAATCTGAGCATGGTCAGCTATTTATTTGCATACTAGTATTAAAGCTCATGCATTTGCTTGCAAAGAAAAAAATATCCAAGGATATTAAGACTGCAATAGAATGGCATTGATCATGAAGTGTGACAATCAGACTGAAATAAGATTCCTCAGCCCTAAAAGTTAAAACAGATAAACAAGAGGCCCATGGGCCACATCGCTCACCTGAGTAACTTTGGCCATGCTGTTCTCTACCAGATTTCCCCCCTTTTAATATACCTATTGTGGCCCCGCCCAACCCCCGGGGGTCAAAATCTAAACAATTTAGAATCTACACTACCTCAGGATGCTTCTAAATATGTCTCAGCTTTATTGGTCGAGTGGTTCTTGAAAAGAAGATTTTTAAATATTTTTCTTATATATTTCAATGTAAAACTTGGATTCCCTATTGTGTCCCGCCCTACCCCCAGGGGTCAAGATTTGAACAATTTATAATCTACAGGATGCTTCAATATAAGTTTCAGCTTTTCTGGCCCAGTGGTTCTTGAGAAGAAGATTTTTAAAGATTTTTCTTATGTATTTCAATGTAAAACTTGGATTCCCTATTGTGGCCCCGCCCTACCCCCGGGGGTCATGATTTAAACAATTTAGAATCTACACTACCCCAGGATGCGTCCACATAAGTTTCAGCTTTTCTGGCCCAGTGGTTCTTGAGAAGAAGATTTGTAAAGATTTTTCTTATGTATTTCAATGTAAAACTTGGATTCCCTACTGTGGCCCTGCCCTACCCCGGGGGGTCATGATTTGAATAGTTTATAATCTACACTACCCCAGGATGCTTCCAAATAAGTTTCAGCTTTTCTGGCCCAGTGGTTCTTGAGAAGAAGATTTTTTAAGATTTTTCCTATATATTTCAATGTAAAACTTGGATTCCCTATTGTGGCCCCGCCCTACCCCCAGGGGTCATGATTTGAACAATTTAGAATCTACACTACCCCAGGATGCTTCCATATAAGTTTCAGTGTTTCTGGCCCAGTGGTTCTTGAGAAGAAGATTTTTTAAGATTTTTCCTATATATTTCAATGTAAAACTTGGATTCCCTATTGTGGCCCCGCCCTACCCCCGGGGGTCATGATTTGAACAATTTAGATTCTACACTACCCCAGCATGCTTCCATATAAGTTTCAGTATTTCTGGCCCAGTGGTTCTTGAGAAGAAGATTTTTTAAGATTTTTCCTATATATTTCAATGTAAAACTTGGATTCCCTATTGTGGCCCTGCCCTACCCCCGGGGGTCATGATTTGAACAATTTAGAATCTACACTACCCCAGGATGCTTCCATATAAGTTTAAGCTTTTCTGCCCCTGTGGTTCTTGAGAAGAAGATTTTTAAAGATTTTTCTTATGTATTTCAATGTAAAACTTGAATTCCCTATTGTGGCCCCGCCCTACCCCCGGGGGTCATGATTTGAACAATTTAGAATCTACACTATCCCAGGTGCTTCCACATAAGTTTCAGCTTTTCTGGCCCAGTGGTTCTTGAGAAGAAGATTTTTTTAATGAACCCACCCTATTTTTGTCTTTTCTTGATTATCTCCCCTTGTAAGGGGACTTGGCCCTTTATTTTAACAATTTACACTCCCCTTCACCCAAGGATACTTTGTACCAAGTTTGGTTAAAATTGGCCCAGTGGTTCTTGAGAAGAAGTTGAAAATGTGAAAAGTTTACAGACGGACGGACAGACGGACGGACGGACGGACAGACGGACGGACGACGGACAACGGGTGATCAGAAAAGCTCACTTGAGCTTTCAGCTCAGGTGAGCTAAAAATTGAAATTATTATAAATAATTGTTTATGTATTCTATTCAAACAGTCCCTCAGATTCATAAGTAGAAAGAGATTTCAGTCTGGTTTTACTGCAATTGTCAGCCTACAACTTTATTTGAAATACTATCCATTTCAGTATACTGATCCCGATGTATTTTCATAGTACCGGTATATAAAGTTCAGTTTGTGTGGTAAATGTATATCATACAGTTTACATGTACAGTGTCATGAGCTCATAAATATGTAATATATTCTTGTGTCTAAAAATTCAGAATACACAAGAATAAATTAACCATTTGGAGTATATATGGAAGTGGACCATAACACTGGCATTTTTCATGTCTTATGACGAACAGTGCACAAGCTAAATAGCATAGACATGCATTCCAAATGTCAAAAATATGCTCTATATCAGCATTAGGAACTACATGTACTCAGAAAAGTACATCAAAGGTCTCGTTGAAAGGTTATGGGATTTGTAATAATTGGTATTTTACAAAAGCCTATAATCCCAAGCAATACATGACCAAAATATCAAATCCATACCTCTTACAGTTCTCAAGATGTAAGGTGTGACAGATGGACAGACACTGGGTAAAGTGATCCAATTTTCTTGCTAGAAAAACTAGAAATGTCAAGGATTAAGTATGACTTGACTTTATATAATGGTACATCGACTTGTGGGAAAACATCTACATACCAAACTATAAGTTGCATTCTTGACATGGGTGCATGGATGAAAAAGAAGAATGAATATTTAATGCAAAACATCTATAGGGAGACAAATAAATGGCCCTAAGTCAAATGATATGCTAAAATAAGTACTACTATTTAATTGTGTGAATGAAAAATTCTTAATAAAAATCTGTAGAAATCATGTCTTTAGATTCATAATACAACTTTATAGGGATCTTGTAAGGCTCAAAAGTCATGGACCATGCCCCAAGATCATGAAGTCTTTTAAACTTAAGTGAAAATCCAATATATTTTGCTGAAATGGTGTAAAAGTACATAAGGAAAAAAAAAGCTTTTACCTACAAGTTTTAATTTTCAGATCATTGTATCAATGTTTATAAGTATGGTACAGTTGTGTAAAATGTTGACTTCTTTGTTTTATGATTCCTTGGCCCTTTATAACTGTGAGCATTTACCAAATTACCGTTACCTCTATTTCATAATATCATTTCAGAAGTGGAAATAAGATTAAACAATGGAAATTCTATACAAGTCATCAGTGAGTGTCAGAAACTCAGCTTTTGACTATGTGTTGTATAAAGGAAGTGAAATACTAAAATCATTCCATGCACATACTGTAGAAGCACAAATTTTCGTGGGGATAAAATTTCGTTGTTTTGTCATCTAAGGTTTCATGGACATTAAATTTCGTTGTTTCAAAAGTAATTCAACTCTATATATAGTCATGTAAAAATTTCGTGGGAGATTTTAATTTCGTTGATAATTGTTAACAACGAAATAAAAAAAATTAAATCCCCAACAAATATTTCTGCTTTAAGAGTATATTAATTACAATACAGATTATAAAAAGGCTACAATTTTTTTTTCAAATTACTGTATACAGGGTTATTTTCCCCTGTGTTATTTTCCCCCTTTTACAAATCATTTGCCCCATTTTAAATTTGCCTAGACATTGTTGTGCAGTGATTCATTTTGAAAATGGTTATCATGGGTCCAAAGGACCCTTCTTAATGACAACAATGAGTCCCGTGCCAAAATCAATGCGTCCAAATCCAAGGGTACCGTATACTAGATGTTACACAGGAAATTCTGGTGAAATAAAAAAGGGTATTGCACGAAAGTGCAAATGTTTTATTGTAGCTGTGAATGATTTATACTTTTACTATCACTGGTCCAAGTAAGAGTACATGATTTTGTGTCATAAAAATAATATATTGTGCACTGTGCACTTTTGTTCTATTTTTAGATCGTACATACGATCTCACACATTGTATCAGTCCTAAAAATGCACAGAAGCAGAATGAAGTAAAAAAAAGTTTAAGAAGAAATGACAAATAGTCAGAAATAAAAATGATTAAATTTTATACTTCTTAGCTTGTAAGGAAAAACCGAAAAGAAAAAAAAACAATGATACAGGTTACAGCTTAAATACAAAGGTATAGTATTCGCTTCAGAAATGTTCCACGGTACAGACATATATAATCAGTGATAATCGAACTATGCCATCTAACTTTCAAATATTTTCCGATAGTTGCTTTTAACTGCAGTTGTGAAATCTGACCTGTTGTTGACAACCTTATACCTGTTAAAATCGTTCATGCATATCACTTAGCATGTGGATATGATGCGATCAGTCAAGTTTTGAATCAGATTATACCGATATAATTTAAAATAGTACATGTCCTTCTATAAATTTATTGCGTCCATTGGGATGCACATTTATTGAAATAATGCATCCTGAGCAAAATTTGTGCGTAATTTACGAAGGACACACATCAAAATGAATCACTGGCTGTGTTATACAGTTATTGTTTTTCTTGAATTTGTCATTTTAAATTCACCCATTTATGACATGGGAAAGGGGCAAAAATAAAATGGGGGTGAAAAATACAATAGACTTTATTTCTGCATAATACCTTTCCACATGCATTTCAAACAGTTTTTCTAAAATCTTTATCAATGAAAGGTAGCATAATAAACGGAACAATAATTCAAATTAAATGGAATCAACATAATTAAGCGTCTTTGAAAAGCTGTCCTGAGCATTTTATCTTCTTCCGACTCTTCATGACACTGTCCCTTTTTTAGGTTTGTTTTTGGATTGTCATTTTTCGACACTGTCCAAACTATTTTTGTAGGAAGATATAGTTATCATCTGCCTACTGCACTCTCGTCCGAGGATACTGCTGTTGTGCCCCGTTGACCAAATAAGGACTTGAACAGGTCATCTCTATTCCAAAAGAAAATATATTTTCAGATTTTTTGATTTGTGATGTATTTTGCTTACAAAGAAGAAAATATATGAATGATAATCTTCAATGACTGCTCAATAATTACTAGTGTTGTCAATGAGTACCCGGTTAACCATCAAACGATGCAAGTATCAGTTAGTAAAACTGCTACTCAGTTACTCGAACATATAAAATTTTACATTTTAACATGTTTAAATCAGCAGGAAAAAATTAAATGTTTCTAAATTTCCTTATTTTATTTTCTGTTATTTAACGATAGACTCGACCTAGTGTTTTACAAATACGATCAATTTGTTTTGATAAGTATTTCACAGTTTATCTAATTGGTGGCTTTCATTGCCAAGGGGTATAGAAGTTTTGAAGGCCTGAGTTAATTATAATTACTTCACACAAATCTGCGCTAGTCCACAGTACAAGATTAAAGAGGATGCTGCCATATGCATCAAAATAATTTTAAACTAGAACTGTCCAATAGGGACAAATACCCCCCGCTGGGTTTTTCAGAGAAAGTACCAAATCACTAATGTTTTCTAGATGTGAGAGGTGTTCACAATTTCCTTAAACATTTCCAGTGAAAATTTAATTACTCATTATATTTTTTATATGTCCGTCTTAAGACGGGACGTATTATGTTATAGCGTTCATGTCCCTCTGTTAGCTTTTTCATGTCCGGCTTATTATTTAGTCTTATTTTTTTCATTATGTTCTTTACAGCAATCTGTAACAAGAAAAATTCCACCTCTCCCATGGGTGTAATGATCAGGCACTGGTCAAGGAAAATTTTGATAGCAGAAAATTGCATGTCAAATTAGAGATAAATTAATGAGTTTAGTGTGAGGTGATAACTGGTAGAGCATCTCTGATCAAGCAGGTGTTATCTACATCTCTTGGGAAATGGGCAAAAGGAATCAGTCTCTTAATTAATTGCTTGTGTTGTATTGAATTGTTCTTGTTGGCTAGTCTTACTTTCAAGATAAATTTGATGTAATTAAAACTAATTTGATATTGTTTATAATAATTAAAACTTATATGATATTGTATAATATAATTTAAACTAATTATTTATTGTACATTTTTTATTTGAATTTTTATATCTTTACAACAAATTGCAGACTGCCTTGTCTCACTAAGATGTCATTCGACCAATTGAATCTAAACTGTTTATGATAATTTAACAATATTTGATGGGCGTATAATGCTGTGGTGGGGCACTTTATTTTAATGAATGAAACTAAGGTGCAGCCTAATAAAATATCAACACTAATAATTACAGTGTTTTTTATTACATTGAAAAAATAGTTTGCAACTATCTGTCATCTTTGTGAGACATGACACTCTGCAAATTGATTGTTGAAAAAAAAAAATATCATAATTAATTATACAAAATCAAATTGATTTTAATACCTTTATATCAAACTCATTTTAAAAATAAAAGGCTGGTTTTAGTAACTATGTATTTTGACAGACATAAATAACAATTAAGAGACTTAGACAACAGAGATCTTTCTTTCTTTCTGCCCAATTCCCCAGAGATATAGATAAGACCTGCCTGATCAGAGATGCCCTAACAGCTTCCCACACTGAACTCATTAATTAATCTTTAACTGGATGCATGTCCACTCATTACTCCCAAGGGACAAATGGATTTACACTATCTGCTGTGTAATGTAAAAACTGTTTTTAATACTTTGTGGGGTTTTTTTAGTTCTAATGAGTAGTTTTAAGCTGTAGTTCACATTTTTGTACAGGTGTCCTAGATTCTACGTCTCAAACCTTAGACATGAACCCGAAATGACTAAGTCAATAAAAATTTAAAAAAAACACCTGTAAAATGCAGAAAAATTATCAAATAATGTTGAAAATACCAGGTGCACATCTTCATATGGTAAATAATAAGTGTACAAATTTTCATACAAATCTATGCAATAGTTTCTGGGAACAGATCCAGACAAAACCAAATAATAAAAATGAAAAAACACCTGTAAAATGCAGAAAAATTATCCAATCATAATGAAAATACCAGGTGCACACCTTCATATGGCGAATAATAAGTGTACAAATTTTCAGACAAATCCTTCCAACAGTTTCCAAGAAATGGTCAGGACAAAATCTCGTCTACAGACAGACGGACAGACAGACGGACAGACAGACGGACATGCTGATTCCAATATACCCCCCCTAAACTTCGTTTGCGGGGGGTATAAAAATGACTGAATTTAAATCCGTAAGATGTAAAATATTTGAAATGGAATTAACATAAACGGTTGGGACAACAAATATCCTAAACCACCTAAGATTGAAATTTAACTCTGAAACAAGCGATATATTATAAAAGACATCCCCTAAAACAGCAAACTATTATGGAATGTTCGAGAAAAAATTATTTAGAAGATATTTAATACTGTGAGTTTCTAATTAAAAGTAAAGTTCATAAGCAGTGCATTTTTGTTTTATAGATGTATACAAATGATAAGATTTATATAGAAATGGTAACGACATTACATATACAAAATATATTTCAGTTAGGATTGAGTGTATATGTTTTGAGGTCTAAACAAAAACCATCCGATTAACTGGTTACTTGATCCAAAAAGTAAGCGAGTAATCAGCTACTAAAAATCGTCAGATTTGACAACACTAATAATTACAAAAGGATTTTCACAAACTATTTCTTAAAGATTTTGAATTGTGGATAAATATTTTTTCTTACATTATTATAAATAATGGCAACAGTAGAAAACAACATATGCCGTTAAAAAACACTACTTGAAAATTAAGTTGCCAGATAATATACTGATGACTGATATATCTTGCTTCATCTGTACAGGTACATACCTTGCTTCATCTGTCCAGGTACAAGTCTCTTTAGGAGCCATAAAGTTGACCAGTTTAGGATGTACATGATATCTGAAAATTAATGCATTAGGCCATCTTTAAAAAATTGTTTGTTGGTCCTTTCCTGACCGACTGGCTAAAATGGCCCGACTCAAAACTTTTTTTTAACTTCCAGGAAACAATTGAATTCTTTACACATTATGAAAATAGACTTTGAAAATTCAGCATAGATGTTGAAATTTTCCAAGAAAAAAAAAATTCCCACCTACCTACCAACCCAATGGGCAAAATTGGCCTTAAAGGTGCTTGGACACAGATTTGAAGTTAATATTTTCTCAAAATTTCTGTATAATTTCATGACTTATATTTACTTTAGCATTTCATACTAAAATATAATAAAAATCTTATTTCATCTCGAAGTTATTAAAACTTCGAATTTCTTGACGCGTTGGATTGACACATCCTTGCGCTTTCACATATTTTAATTTTATTCTTAATACTTAAGAAAAGTGGCAATTTTGTTGACTGTGTATAAATGAAAAATATTAAAACTATAACACAGAAAATTCAGAGTAGAAATGTTCGAAAGCAAAACCCACTCACAGTATTGTAAGTCCGTGCTCAGTGGTGTGTGCAGAGTTTAACAATTGAACGCATCCGGTGAATCGTAAACATTAACAATAACAGAGCTCGTGCCCTGTTTACAAAAACAGTTTACGTTTCACGGGTGTATTCAATTTGTTAAAGTCTGTACACATCACAGAGCACAGACTGACAATACTGGTGAGTTGGTTTTGCTTTCGAACATTTCTACTCTGAATTTTCTGAATTATAGATGTAATATTTTGCATTTATACATAACAAAATCGCTTCTTTTCTTAAATATTAAGGATAAAGTTGAAATTTGTGTAAGTGCAAAGATGTGTTAATCAAACGCGTCCCGGAATTCTCAGTTCCAATAATTTCCAGATAAAATAAGTTTGTAATTATATTTTCGTGTGAAATGCTATTGCAGTATATGTCTTGATATTATACAGAAAATTTGAGAAAATATTAAGTTCAAATCTGTGTCTAAGCACCTTTAAGTTAACAAACAGTAGTGAAAAGAAAGGGAAATAACTCCCAAACATTTCTGTAGTTAACTGTTATGGACATTGATGTGAGTTATTGCTCTTTACATAAATTTCACAGCACTATCATTTACACTGATTTCATGTTTTATTTGTTTTTAGTAACCCCTCCTAACTTTTTCTTCCCTTTGATGTTCTTTGTTCTACATGCACTTTTTCCTTACCTTATTCCTCTACTTTTGTTGTTCTACATGTACTTTTTCCTTACCTTATTCTATTTTTGAAGCTCAATTTTCTATTTATGTACACATTATTATTTTCTTCCCTGTAATGTTTGAGTTTCCATTATTTTTATCCTTACCTTATTTTTCTTCCTTTTGATGCTCTAGTTTCTACTTTCCTCTTCACCTTATTTCTCAGCCTCTGTATTTCTAACCATTGCCTGCAGATATAATCATTTCAAATTTTTCTCCAAATTGGTTAAAAAAAAATATTTCTGTGTTGACAGCTGAAAATGTGTCCATATTGCATGCAGCACTGAATCAAAGCATTCAAACGGTTCTAATAACTTTAATATTTTATATAAAAATAAAAAGAAGAAGAAGAAAAGTCTTATTGACCTGCTAAGGGCAATGGGATCATTGATATCTGATGTCTTTCTTTCTATGAGCTCTCTTAGCTGTTGATGGTAGAAGTCACTGTCATCAAAAATCTCTGTATCATACGTTTGCTCCGATGTCTTGATCCCTGTCTCCAGCTGTAAAATATATACCTCACTGATATCTATTTTGAATGGCAATCAGTTTTAGCTCATGTTTAAGCCTTAAGTGAAATGTCCATATACATGTATAAGTTCATGTAAGTTTAGTAGGGATGCACTGTGTATGCAGTCAATCCTGTATTAAGCAACCCATCAAAAGAAATTCTAAAATGGTCACATACACTACCTACCTATGACAGGTAGGTAGTCTCTTAAAGCAGGGAATCATATTCTATAGCAATTTTCATAGTACATGCATAAATACTAAATAAAAATAAGTTTTGAAACATTTTCACTTTTCTTGATAAATAGAACATATTCAATAAAGTTAAGTTCATACATATTCTTTTCATTCCTAACTGCATTAAGTTTTAAAAGAAAATCCAAAACAGGTTTGTTTCATCATTTTTCACACTTTTTCGACAATGTTAAGGACAAAAAGTACTCTGACAAGATTAAGTTGTCATGAAATAAAACTTTAAAATCACAAAGAAATACAATGGTTTTTATGTGCAAGTGTCAGCAAATTTTATACACTTCTTGTTGAATTCATTTCAAAATTTATCTAAAGTTACTTTTACTATGTTTCTTATTTTGATAAGTTTCTTTTTTTATACCAGATCACACACTGTGAAATATTCCATTAATGAGTATGTTTGGGCAATCGTTTCTCTGCAAATTAGGAGTAAACGGCAAAAACTAAACATTTTTTTACTTTTGTAATTGAAAGCTAGGCTGAAAAATGCTTAATTCAGGGTCTAAACTGCTTTTGGATGGCAAATGATGATCTCATGTCACGTTAAACAGAGAATTGCCAAATGAAGGTTATACATATTGAAAAATTCTCAGGAGGAAATTTAAAAGTTGCATATGACAGAAAGTCACTAAATACAGGAGGTTACTATGACAGGTTTGACTGTACTTGAAAAATATTCAACAAGTTTTTTGGTGGCAGAGGACGGTTTTTATAGCAATCAAAATGTTTGGCTGACATTTTCCTTAATATTGAGCTGCTTGTAAAATGTGCATTGGAAAATTTTAAATTCTCTCTACATGTAACAATAGCATGGTGTAGTTCTTTGAGGAATTTGAAGCTTTTTGGAATAAAACATGTACAACTTACACATTGAGCCCAAATGATGGCACAGGGACAATCTCAAAATTTCATGAAAATTTAGCTTATTTTCACTATTTCACCAGATCTGCGCCAGCTCCCAGGCCCTACTAATCCCCTACGCTACGACACAAAATGCAGACGAACACCTGTACATACCACTAAACAGAAAGAGATACTGGCTCAACTACCTCCTTTTCAAGCTACAATTCATCCTATGAACCTGTCCCGCTTTTCTGAGGAAATACCGGATGAGTAATTTTTTATTTTAGTTTTGAATTTTTTAGTCCACATCCTATAAATAGTAGTAGTGACACTAAAGTGTCATATATCGATAAACTATAAAAGGCCACCAATTCCCTCCAAATGCACAATAAAATCACCTATAACATGCATTCAAACCTTAGGTTTCTCTATTTTTTTCTAATTTTTGACCGTTACTTAATCTGAAACTATCCTCTGCCACCTTTGAAAACTCATGTTTGGAAGGGGTAGGTTACCAATGGCTCTTGATTGACAGCTGTCTCTGCTTCCTCAGGTTTCCCCAGAACCTTATAGCTGGCCCTCTTCATCTGTGTCCTCTTAATCAGTCTGTCCTTATCACTCAAAACCTAAAAATAGAAGTAGCAGTACAATCAGATAGAAGATCAGACCATGGGTAAAGGAGAGGAAGTTAAAA